CACTTTAGGCGTAGCCTCTTACACCTAATAGTTATATACTTAACTTTACCTTTACTTAAGTCTTAGCTAACTTAACTCTACCTCTACTTAAGTTTTAGCTAACTTAACTCTACTTCTACTTAAGTTTTAATAACTTTACTTCTACTTATGCTAAAGAACCTTAGCGTAGGTAGAGGTAGAGGTAGGGCTAGGTATTATATAAGCCAACCCTACCCCTACCCTACCCCTACCCATTCGCCAGTCTAGCTTTGCTGCACGTCTGGAAATCTCGGTGTGCATGTAGACACACTACACCACCTAGGAGCAGCTAGGGTGGGAAAAAAAAAATTAGGGTTTTAGTGCAAGGGGGTGGGTGGGGGTTTAGGGCGTTTAGCCATGCGCTCGCTATACATGGATGGATGAATGCATGTGTAAGCGAGATAGAGGCGAAGTTCCTGCCGCCGTCCTTGCTTGTCCGTCTCTGAAATCAATGATAAAATAAGAAGAAAAGAAGAATAGACGATAGAGTAGATTTACACCTACGAGTATATATTATCAACAAGTACGCGATAAAAAAAATAGTCATTACACATACATTCTAATTCTGTAAAGCTATTCCCCTTCCAGCGACATTATGTACACACGTATAGAACCAGCACCTATCTAATGGACATGCACATGCACATGTCAGAAAAAAAAAAGAGAGACTAACCGTCTTACATGCATCCACACATCATAGCACATCACATCTCATCACATCACATGACGGCATGCAACTGCAACTGCAACTGCAAAATGTGCCGAGCTAACTGCCGTTGCCGTTGCGGTTGTGCGGCTGCGAGCTAGAGAGCCGGGAGCCAGGGAGGCAAGGTGAGCTAGTATAAATCTGTTCATGTATGTAGTTCCCTGCATTGACGTGTGCGGATGCGGATGCGGATGCGTGCGTGTGTAGGGAGCGTGGCGCGAGGTACACGTGTTTCCCGTGTACAGTGTTCTTATCATTAATTACTTATCGGGGAACAAAGACATAAAGGTTGTGGCGGGCGCAAACAAAGGCTGTCACTTCACCTTGCCGCTGCGCGTACCGTACCGTACCGTATCTGCATGCAGGCATGCGTCGACAGCTGAAGGGTCAATAAAGAAGGCTTGCTGCATTGGGTACCGTGGTCCGCATCGGGGCTGGGCCGTACTGCTGTTTTTGTCTTTGTTGCAGAGACGACAAAAGGAACAAGTGTACCAGCAGGGGGGTTTGCCAAAGGGGACCTTATCGTGACATGACCAAACAAGTGGCGGCAGGGACAAGGCATGCAGCGGGAATAAACCGAGAGTTTTGTGCACGCATAAGCAGGGTGAGGAGACTTATTTGCATGATACTTCACCACATGTACGTACTTGTCGTAACTTGTTATAAAAAAAAAGACTTGAAGGCTGCAGAATGGCTGCAGAATGGCTGCTCTCACTACAAGACTAAACATCGCCTGCACATGCACAGAATGCAGCGCTTTTCTTCACCCGACCCACTCGGCTTCAGCTATGGGCCTTGCGCCCCTCTTGACCGGAATAGTAGTAGCCCCGCAACCATGGATAGACAAGTCATCGCCCTCAACTTACCCAGTACTGCACACCCTTGGGCCAATCTCGACCTTGCCTTCGCCCTCGCCCTTGCACAGCCTGCGCGTCGCCACGTCAATAGCATCAAGTCCGTTGTTTTCGCCAACCGCCAATAGCTCCCCAAGTGCGTTTCCAAAGACTCCGGGGGCGTTACGCTGTTCGTATCCCGCTTGTCGCGCGCGTATACCCAGGCAAACGAGGCTGGCTGTGCAACACATCATACCGCTTTGCGAAGAGCATTCTGAGGTATTTTTTGACGCCCAAGAGCAGCTGGGCGACTTGGATACAGACGCATTGCCGGTTACTAAAAAGACGGCGTCGCGGATGGGCGAGCCGTCAATCAAGCCTGCATTGGGCTGCTCGCCTGATAAACAGCCAAGGCAAGTCACAGGAGCTTTCCCAGTGTGACGGAATTGTGGGGTAGTCTGGGCCTCTGGGGTGCCGTAGACGATCTTGAGTCAATGTCTGTGCGATTGAGTTCAAGTCATGCTGGTAAGGATGCCTGGTTGGACGAGTGGATAAGTGGTTTTGAGCAATTCCATTTCATGTGCAATCGGCATTTGAGTTTTCAGATTAACAGACTAGTTTTAGCATTGGACTGTAGGCGCTGGAAAAGAGCAATGCACGAAACAACGCCTACTATATCATACTAAGTACCATTATTGGCAGTATTGGGAATTTACTAGTTCCATCCGTTAGTAGACATCGGAGAAAACAACCAAGCTTACTGTGAGTTGAGGAACCTGACCCCATGCAGAGCTCTTCCACCCGCCTTCATCTAAAGTCGAGTCTTGGAGCAGATCGTGTCGATGCGATGAATCCACAGAGGGTCCATATGTGCAGCATTTCCTCTAGTTCTAGATCCCCATCCTTACAGAGACGGCTCTCCACGTCTCATCGGCATCGCCTGCAGCTAGTGTGATGCTAAGTCTAGCAAGCGCCGTGTTACACATGTTAGTATTCCTGGAACGGGTCGGCGCGGCCGTACAGTGCCCAGAGCGTCAGCGTGGCTGTAGGCGAGGGCGGCAAGTCTTTGTGGCGTATTGCCAGTGAGCTGAGCGAACAACAGATGGGGGCTCGAAGCAGCGGTGTGTTTCTCTGTTACTGGTGCAGTGTTTTTTCAGGAAAACAATGGAGCAAGTGGTTTTGCAAGGCTTCAGTCTAAAAGGACAACAAAGCTCTGGATAGCTGAGTCATATCGTACTAGCCAACGGCTACGATCGTCTTGGCTGGTCCATGCATCGATAGGAAAAAAAAATCAACGGTACATGGCTGAAATGTATGGCTGTTGTGAATCTGCGCAAAGACATGGCTGCAAAGTGGCTGGAGTGGCACCATCGCAATTGCGATTCACGGGAGCGTTGTTGTAGAATTGCCACCCAGTGCAGTGTTGCCGTAAACTTTACGGGCCCACATTCACCGGCCTTGGCGCTTGACGGTTGGCTTTCTAAAAATCGTAGTTGGACATTTTTAGGTAGCGAACATGGCGCATATGCTGCCAGATTTGTCGAGACCTGGGTGATGGAAGCGGACACGACGGTCTAGCATCAGCCTCAATGTGCCAACAGCCAAAGTGGGGAAGGAGCAGACCCTGCAGGCCAGACAATAAGTCCATGGTTTCGTGATCGATACCTGCATCTGTCCAGGTGATGTGTACCACGGTCCCATGTGCAGAGTCAGGAACCAACGTCCCGAACCAGCCCAGTGTAAGCGCTTGGGCCACGCCACTATCAAGAGACTTGTTGCCTTACTGCCATGGGCCACAAATTTTTCATCGCTTGCTGGCACTTGGGTCCCCAATTGTGACAACTGACTCGGCACGTGGAACAGTGCTCGCTTCTAACTCCTTGGAACTGGCTAGCAGCATGCAAGGAACATGCACATCCATGGCAGCCTTGCCTCAGCCTCAGGATAGCTTCGTATGACCGCCGTACTGTAGGGCAGTACTGGCCCCGCAAAACAGCTTGCATCGGGAGATGGCCATGGTGGCAGACGTCGTGTTTGGTCCGGCATGAGCGATGGCTGGCGCAATGCCCAGCTGCTTGGAGCGAAACACGCCAAGGACATGGGACAGGTGCCGGGCGAGAAGCTTGTTGACTCCAAACAAAGGCAGCAGAGGCGTCGTCAGTCAATGGCCATGGAATCCTTTCAAGACATGTCCGACAGCAGGTCGGCGCTGTCTTGGGCGCATTGCTCCCATGGTCGTGGTGGGAGACGAGAGCCATGGCAAAACGTGGCATGGGGCCCGGATACTTGTCCGATTATGTGTGTGTGGATAGCGAACCAGCAAGCCGGAAGGTCCAGCGAGAGATAGCGCTGCATGCTGTCCAATATTGGCATGCCCACAGCAGCCCTGTGACATGAGCTCACCGGCCTGATATGGTTTGGCCGCCGGCCGGGGCGAAACAGCACACCCCCATCGCGCGCTGGCGGCACTGTTTTGTTTTAGAGCGTAGACGAGGGGTAGCGGCGTTGCTGGGCGATGGCACATGTCATGGCGTAGGGGAATCGGTGGTAATCAAAGGGAGAGCAGCATGGGAATCAGGACGACTGGCGACGTGTCGGGGCGGTTAGGCGAGGAATATTGGAGCAAGGCTGCACGCACACGCAGCGAGCTGGCTGATAGCGGGTGGGGCGCGCTAGTCCGCTCCGGGGGCTGGTGTGGGAGCGGTGCCTGGAGACTAGGCCATTTGGGGAGATTACGACGAGCTATCTCCCGCCCTAGCCTGACTGTGCCAAGGGCAGATCAACTGCAGCAACCGACCTCGACCTGTTCGGGGAATAAGCTTTAGCCTCAGTCGCTCTCCCGCACCTATTCTCATGTCGATGCATCCCTCGCCCCTCAACACCCTCACCACCCATCCATGTCCGACTGACTGGTGGCCTTCGGTGAGCGCGACACATCCAGCTGCTGCCCGTCCGTGTGGCTTGACCCATCGTACCACCGTCCAACTACCCCTGCTCAACCCCATCTTCACCTCGCTCTAGCACCTCACGGAAGCACGGGGCCTCGACGCCACCAAACACAACGGCGCATGGCTGAAGCTCGCCTCGCGACTCTCAGGCCCGATTGCTGTCTTCCACACTCGCCGTATCCTCCCAGTCATGTCCCAATCGGGACAAGTCGTCCAGTTCACCACCCCCGGACGTAGCTGGCCACCCATCGCCCAGGCTCCTGGGCCGTCTCCAGCGACGAAAGTGGCTTGCTGCTAACACTGCCCGCCTTGGCCCACGTACCAACCCATGTTGTTCACCATGATAGCTCGAATGCGTATAAGTAAGACGTCTCGTCTCGCCAGTTCAACTTCCTCACCCCAAGCATCTCACAGGCTCCACAGCAAGCTCATCTCAAAGCCTTCCTTGACTCTACAACCATTCCCAGTTTCTCTCCTTCACCCTCAATTTCCAAAATGCGCAACGCTCTTCTTGTTGCTTCCGCTCTTAGCGGTTTGGCTGCCGCCCTCCCCCAGAATATCAACATTGCGGCTGCAAAGGCCGTTCCTACACCCTCCCTCCTGGGCCCTGCGCCGACTCTGCCTCCCAACGCCCCCGTCAACTACAACCAGGCCTCTGCTGTTGACAAGGCCAAGGACGATGTTGCTTCCGGTGCCGTTAAGCCCAGCAACAAGCGGGACACCTCTTCTTGCCCCGCCCAGCCTGTAGGGTGCGTCAATATCTAAATACTTGGAATTTGAATCAATATACTCATTATGGATACAGTGCTGCGCCTGCTACCGGTGACTACTCAGTTGGGGCCTTCCAAAACCCCAGCAACGCCCTCATGGCAATTGCTTCGGCAGCAACAGCTCCTAGCGGCTACGTCGAAAACTTCAAAGCCAAATCCGGAGCCACCCAGCAGATCGGTTACTTGACCTACAAGATTCTCCCGGGAACCACCTACGACGTTGGCGCATGTGCCGCCTTTTGCGACAGCGAGAAGTTTTGTCTTGGCTTCAACATCTACTACGAACGTGATGGCACTGTTCAGCCTACCTCGGACTGCCCGAACCCTGCCCCCCAGACCAACATCAAGTGCTCCCTCTTCGGATACCCTGTTTCTGCCGCAACTGCCACCAACAGTGGCCAGTGGCAGGAGCAGTTCCAGGTTGTCATCACTGGCAGCAACGGTAAGTTTTTTTTGCTTCTTTTTACGCAGCCTAGGCTAATGCAGAATCAGGATACTCCAAGTCCTCATGCACACAACCCCCCACACTCTCTGGCTACAGCGTACAGAGCCTTCCTGCTGCTGTCAACGCTCCCGATGTTAGCACCTACAACGGCATGCGTCTCTTCAATACCAACCCCTTTGATCCTAGCCTTTGCGCTGCTGCCTGTGAGGCTCAGACCGCCTTCGACAAAGAGCACCTTGTCTCCAATGGCAGGTACACTCCTTGCAACTACTTCACCTCCTATATCTTGACCGACAACGGCGTCCCCCTCGGAACCTACTGTGCTCTCTACTCTGTCCCCATTGACAGCCAGTACGCCGTCAACTCCGGCTACACCAGCGGCAGTGACACATTCAACGTTGTCTGCACTGCCGCATACACCGCCACCACCCAGGACAGCGGCATCGTCAGCCAATAGTTATGAATTTCATACTGCATGGATGACGGAATGATGTGGAAAAATGGAAAATGGTTAACGCACGGGTACGAGGGACGATTGGTGTCTTTTCAGTGTAATGATTTAATGTAATTGATTTTGCCTATATACCTGCTCATCTACTCGACTTTGACATGGCACTCTCGAAAGCTTGTAGCTGTGATGTACACGATTATTCGCCTAAGCTTTCATAGGACTTTCCTCGACTCTGAACTTTATGAATCGGGCCATTGGAGTCCTAATGATGCGAATAGTAGTCTGTCTCCATTTGTTCTATGCCAGATTTCAATTTGCTGCTAAAGCAGATTTTAGAAAATATGTTGGTACGCAATCACATTCAGATACGATACCGTATACTTTTTATATAATGAGTCAGCAGCAATCTACATTTTGAATATTCGCAAACAGCGAGAGTCTCTAGCAAACACGAAAACTTATCCAAAAGAGGACGAATCTCTGGTATAAACATGCGAAGAAAGTGAAAGTACTTGAAAATACTCACTGCTAATTCCTCTGCAAACCAACACACTAACCATCCAGATTCGTCCAGATTCTGAAGAACTGCATTGCCGTGGTGCAAAGCGGACACCAAGTCGCATGACTAAGCATCCACGATGCCACTTAGGGTACGCTAACTGAACCATCTTCCATTGGCGCATTTTCTATCCTAAATGTCAGAATACCAATCACCATGTCGCAAGTTGTTTCGACGTCAGGCGACCAATCATGAAGCTTCATGCTGCTTAACAGTCAGGTACTACCTAGTAAGTAACGTTGCCTGCATGACAAATGCTCCAATTTAGCGAAACCGGCGGCAAGTAACACTATTTCAACGGCAAATGCTCGATGGCGGGTATGGCGTACATGCATAAATAGGGGCGGCACCGCCCATTCGAATTCGCAACCAAATTCTACCTCCAGTTTGATACTGTCCTCTGCCAAAATAACCCAACTCACCAACTCTTAACCCAAAGCCAACATGTCTACCCGACCCACCGTCGTCTTGATCCCAGGCTCCTTCAGCTATGCATCCATGTACGATGTCCTCGCCGACCCTCTGCGCGCAAAAGGCCACGATGTGCATGTTCTTGAACCGCCCTGCTACCCCGCAGGCTACGAGCGCAAAACGGGGGGTGCCCCACCGAGCTTGTACGCCGATGCCCAGTACGTCAACGACTTTGTATCTAAGCTGGTGAACGAGGGGAAAGAGGTTGTTCTCGTCGCCCACAGCTATGGCGGTAAGTCTGAATTATTATTTTTTCTTTCGGGGCGCGGATATAGCTAACATGTGGCTATCCAGGGTGTGTCGCGACGGAGAGCCTGAAAGGCGTAACGAAGAAAGAGCAAGAGGCAAAGGGAGAAAAAGGAGGTGTCGTCCGCGTTGCCTATCTCACTGCTGTGGTGCCGCCTCTTGGTCAATCTTGCTTTCAGGCGCTTGCGGATTCAAAGGCTCCTGCGGTCGAGGCTGATGAGGTAAGAGCCGCTGCTATTTGATATGGATACGACTCCGACTAACAGCACAATAGAATGGTTGGCTGAGCCACAAAGATATCAGGGCCACGGCAGCAAACTGCTGCAGCGATCTCCCAATCGAAGACGCGGTTGCTGCAGCCTCAAAGATGGGCAAGCATTTTGGCGGCTGTATGGTAAACCCTCTGACGTATGCCGGGTACAAAGACGTCGCGGTATCATGGTTCTTTGCTGGAAAGGATTTAGTCATTCCACCACAGGAGCAGCAGAAATTTATCGACGAAATTGAGAAGAGCTGGGTGGGTACAGAGAGGGAAGGCAAGAAGGTCGACGTGACGAAGTTGGATTGCGACCATTTCCCCCTTGTTCTCGAGGACAAGCGAGAGAAGGTTATCCAGTGGGTTGAGGAGGCTATTGAGAAAGGTGGCCGCGAATAAGCTACACCGAGGAGTCGGCAGCAAAGTAAAAATTAGTCGGTTACAATGTCCGTTGATCGGAATTCATTTACTCATGTAGTAGTCTCACTCCGCAAGTCCCGCCTATGATATCAAGTCCACCGTCAAAACCGACTTCTGCCGACCTTCCAACTTTTGAACTTTGTCTACTGCCCTAGTAAAACCCCTCGCCTCCATATTCTAGGTTCCTAGGCCGAACTCCCAATCGCTCATCGAGATCGGTACTTCATTGCCATACACGCTGTGCCTCAAGTAGAGCGCTCTCCCTCACCACAAGTGCTGACATGGAAGGAGCCTATGCAGCAAGTAGGTAGCGCAAAAGATAACGACGACAACGGCGAATATACGGCATACTGAAACAAGCCGTCTTACCTCACATCCAAGGCCGAGCAGAATCACCACGGGGAAGCCTTCTCTTTTGGGACAAGACAGCTAGCTGCCTCAGACAGATGGCCCCGTCCATCCCCTCGTTACACATTTTCCAAAGCGCGCAAAGCGAACAAATCCAACAACCACAAAAAAAAACCAGGGCCATCCATCCACGCTCAAAAGGCATCATCGCAGTTCCAAAAAAGAGAAAGAAGAAAAAAAAGAACCGCCGTCGTATATACCCTGGGATACAGTGTAATAACAGCGCAAAGCTATAGGACAGGATAGTGTGCGCGACGCTAAGAGAAACAACAACATCCAAGGTCCCCGCAGATGGACGGAAAAGAGATATACAGTAGTAGGCATCATCCCAGCACACTGATTCCGCAAAACGTCTCGAACCACACGCAGCTATCCATCTATCCTAAACTCGAGCGGCCCGTCCAACAGACCCGCACACCATACACGTGGAAGAGAGAAAAAGAAGCAGGCCACCAAAAAAAAAAGAAGAAGCGCCCTTGTCTATCCAAGTACGGCAATCCCCGCTGTCATGCGCGCCAACGCCCAAAAAAAAGGGCCAAAACAGTATCCCAAAAAAAGAACAACCTTGCTTTCATCCACACCATCTGTCATCTGTTACGTCTGAGGCACCTGTAAGGCAAAGGGCCAAGCACAAGAAAAAAAAGCGGAGCCGCCGCCCTACTACTTACAACACAGTAGATGCCTGCTAACGTGCGTAAGTCCCCTTGTTTCGACTTCACAAGTCCCCTCAGGTTGCGCATGTGAAGGGTAAGAAAAATGGCATGTGCAACCCTGGTCCCCGTCGGCCCCCCCATCCTCCATACGGCATACAAGGCATGAGGGACAGAGACATGTAGCTGAAACGCACATACTTTGCTCAAGGGGTGGGATTTCTTGGCTGCCACCCTTAGCCTAACGTGTCTTTCTCTCTCTCTCTCTCTCTCTCTCTCTCTCTGTGTGTGTGTGTGTGTGTGTGTCTTTCGCGCGCGCGTCTTCTCTCTTTCGAGACAAGACGTTGGATACAGGATTCCTTTTTCTAGACAAGTGCTTTGCAATGCTTGCAATGCCAAGACGCCGGCCGGGTATGTGACGGACGAAAAACGAAGGAAAGAAAAAAAAGGGATGTTAGCTAACGTACGGTAATTATTATTTCCTTTTATTCTTTCTTTCTTTCTTTGTTTTGATTTCCTATGGCGTTCTACAAGGGTAAGTTTGGCATATCCATGTTTCTTTTTAGTGTAAGTCTTGATTGCAACAACGTTGCGAAAGCGAATGGAGAGTCCCGAGAATCTTTGATGACGGCATGTGTGATACACACATATACATAGAGAGAGAGAGAAAAAAAAGAAAAGAAAAGAAAGGGACTGTACAAACAGAGTTCATCACATACCTACGCGGTTGCATGCATAAACAGGGACGCATGCCAAGTGTGCAAAGTAACAACACACCTCCATCCATCCATCCATACACCGTAACTACGATTGTATACGCAGGGAAAAACGACTCCCCCTCCCATGGCCATAACGCCACCCATTTCAAACCAAAAAGCCTCAAATGCTCATGTTTGAAAAGATTAGCAGACATGATAATAAATAGGCGGCACCGGAACAGCCAGCGCAGACAGGTGCCTGACAAGGGTAACGTGGAAAATAGCACACATAGATCATAGATACATGTCGAAAACATGTATTGCGCCATGCTCTTTCTTTTCTCGAACATGCAAATGACAGATTGGGTGCGAGATAAAACACACACAGCACGTCTCTGAGAAGCAGCACAAACCCCTTGGGGCGGGCGCGTCAGTAACCGGGCTACAAGCCAAAGAAAAGATGGTGGTGGTGGTGGTGGTGGATTATCTTGGAACCAGGACCCTTGTTGCGTGGCAGTCGGGATAACCTTATTCTTTTCTTTTTCTCTTCCTCTTTTGACCGGAAGATATCTACGCAATCGTATAAAGCGCCGAGCTGACAGCGCGGAGAGGGAAGGAGGAGGCGGTGGTGGTGCGCGCGCGCGTGCATGCCCACCCGTTTCAATCCCGTTCTGTAACTGTTGGCGTGCCAGAATTGCGAAACGGGCGGCGTATGTGGTGTGGTGTGCGCGCCGCGCATGAACATGGGCACCTCCGAACTACCCGCTCTCATTAGCGACAAACCCGTTGCCACACTTTTGTTGTGCTCTTGAGAGCGAGGGCAGGGGGAAGCGGAGGTGGGTGGGGACGGGTGAGTGGGCTGTTGTAAAATGATATAAGACGAAGCGACACGGTTAGATGTCAGTTTACAACATCTTTTCCGGCTTGTTGCAAGAAATCAAACAAGCGACTTGTATACTTATCGTAGTGGAAGAGAAAGGAAAGGTATTTTTCCTCTCTCTCTTCGTTGCAAGGGTTACCTTTCACCATCGCCACTGCGCAGCATATCCCTCTCTTTACCTCCTTCAACATGCGCCTCGTTATAACGATTATTGCCGTAGCAGTAACCGGTGTCATTGCTTCGCCAAAGCCTCCTCCCCCACCGAAACAAGGCCCCGGAGCTGGTGTTGCTGCTGCTGGTCCATGTCCCGTAAGCCGAATACTCACCACCTGCATGATACAAGGAAAGCAATGCTGATCAGGCTTCAGATGGATTGCTGGAACGAAGCAGCAGGCGTAGCAAAATGCGATCCAAATAAGGACGACAAGTGTCTATGCGGGCCCTTTTTAAATGCCGTAACCTCGTGTACTGCGGCAACATGCAGCATCTCAGAAAACCTAGGTATGTCAAGTCCGTGATCACACAATCAAACAAACCATGTACTTACGCGCATGACAGCTGCGCTGGACGTCTTGGCCGGCCCGTGCGAGTAGAAATACCAAACAACGACAAGAAAAACATGTAATATTAGCAATCTCGATGGTCGCCTAAACCACAGACTTATGACGACGTGTACAAATACAAGAGGCAGGCATCCAGTGGATGAGGTGAGCAGAGAACATCGGTCAAACGGCTGCAAGGGGACACTTATAGCCCAAAATTGCCATAAGCTTGGCATTGGTCCTAATACAGCTTCGGGCACCCAGTCCCCATCCGAGGCGCGCCTGTTGTTGCGGATGTGAAGAAAATGATACCCACACAAGTGCGAATTGACGCAATATGGTGCTAGTTAGTAACCGGATGACGACCGGCTATCGATCAGTCAATCGGTGGAATGTATATCGTGACGCAATACCACCGCGAACTTGACTTGCCCCGTACTATGGGGAGAAATGGAGACATGGTTCATGTAGATATGGTTCCGACACCGGATGCTGGATTGCTGTAGTACATAAAGATCAGCGCTTTTCTGTCTATACAAGCTCGTGGGGTCACCGGTCCATCAAAAGCCAATTCGTACTCGTTATCTCCACTTGACGTAAACTCTTCTCCAGTAAGGACAAGGATCGCATCGTTTCATAAAATTATTTCTTCTCAACGTATGCCATGGCAAGCCCTTGTGCCCAGGCACCCCGTCAGTCAAAAACCTGGCACACGCACGGCTGGCCAGTCGGCACTGGATCAGCGGTTTTGTGTCGAGGTTGCCGTGTACGGGAGCCGTTCCTTATCGAGAGACGGGTTTTAGTTCATACGAGTCGAAGTTTATGAGTCAATGGAAATGGTTGAGGTGTTGCTGGGCCACTCAGAGAGCATGTCGAAAATTAAGTTTGATGCAGCTGTTATCGCACTCGTGGGTTACGGAAGCCTCGGCTACTGAGTTGACAGAGTAATTCGTCGACCATATCTGGCAAGTTCCATTGCTGTTGCGCTTACATTTCTCCATCATGGGGCCAAGGTTCCCCACTCAAACCAACGAGACTTGCACTTGGACACCAGCCAGCTCTAGATGTGGCGATCATCCTGACGAAAGTTGAGCCTTCCCGGGGCTAGAGGCAGATCGACAGCCTAGCTGTTCCCCGCAGACTATGTGCGACAGCTTTTAGAAATTGCGATCGGAATCCCCGCAGATCCATGAAGAGAGAGACAGGATGAAGACCCTTGACGGCAACGTGCAAACAGGCAGAAGAGTGTGCGGTGTGGGTATGTTTGGCTTTGGCCAGGGTCAGGAAGAGGGCGGTTGACGTAAGATTCCTTGTTTTATCGACGATCTCTGTGCAAAGTGCGGGAAGAATAGCCTGATTGACCATCTAGGATCGACATGGAGCCCAAAGGTATTAGGTGTAGATGGGGATGTCTGGTGAAGCTGTCAAGGGCCCATTAGTGCGCGGCATTCGTAAGGTGTTCCACTTTCTTTGCGCTCGCATCGACACTAGATGCTTGGCTTGTCACTTCAGAGGGTTCCCCGTCGCGGGCTTAACACTGTATAGCAAAGGGGGAAACCCCATGCCTGTGCAAGTACCATGAGTCGGGGTTGTGGCATCAGGCGGATGAGTATATTCCGTTGGGCGAGTGGCACCACCAATCTGCCAATGCCCCTGAAAAATGCGTCGTTGCGTTTCGATCCATAAGCCACGGTCAACGGTGCGGGGCCCCAGAGAGCCTAACCGTGGATCAACCGACATTCGGCCATACCGGGCTCTGACGCGTAACCTGCTCCTTTTCCGTGGCGACATTACATCAGTAGGATGGACCAGAAACCCTGCGTGTTCTAGACAACGGGCAGGTACATGTCACGATAGGTGACGATGGTGTCAGGCCAGGATCGGAGAAGAGATTGCAACGCCTAGGTCGAAGTGGTTCGCCAGTCGGAGCCGGATGTTACTTGCGGAGCCGAACCTTTGGGGGCTAGGGTCGTCCGATGCTGAGCGACCGTCGCACATGGCGATGACATGTCACAAGCGGCCGCAAACGTACCATGAAACCGTATCGCAGTCTAGGTTCGCGGGTGCGGGCGCCCCATGGTGTCTGAAACGGGGAGCGGGAAAAACATCGGCATAACTGAAATTTCTGGCTGAGGATGTGACATCGGCCAAAGCGATGCTTCTATCCAGGCTTCGACAGAAGGCGTACCTTGCATAGCTCGGACGACTGGAGAGGCCCAGGCGCCACCAGCGCAGAACATAGCGGAGCCCCGTTCTTGCAGCCATGGCCTCTCCGAGATTCTCCGATGCCGCTTTCTGTCGCCAGAGGTCCCCTACCCTACTGGCGTGCGAAATTTTTGTCGGCTCGGCATAGGCGTATGCTCGGAGGAAGCGTGCCCCCCCCCCCCAATCCAAAGCGGGGCGAGCTATTGAAGGGCTAGCTGCACTCAAAAATTTCTTGAACAACAGATAAGAATAGCGGAGCCGAAATTGGCACTGCAGGACAGTCTTGCGCATGGGTACGCTATTCAGGCTCGAAGCAGATGCAAGGCGAGGCGGGTGCCGGGTGTGCAGTGAAGAGGCAGTCGAAGGGCGTCGAAGGGCAGTCGAATTTGCAGCCGACATAACAGGCAGGGCTTGGGCAAAGGACGTCATACTGCTCGGGACAGCCGGTCCGTCGCAGGGCAAAAGTCCCCACGATCTGCTGAGAGGCCAAGCACAGGGGCGCGGCGGCGACTGGGGTGCCCAAGGGTGCCAGCTGAAGATAGCCAGCAGTGGGCTTTGCGCAAATGGCCAAGTTGGCCGACGTGGGCCTATACGACTGCGACGACATGGGCAGTGCCCCCTCCCCCCCTTTGCAGCGAGCAGGCCTCGGACGAATTGGTCAAGACGACGACGACAATGAGGCGGCGGCTGCTGCTCGAGCGGACCATGGGCGGGCAGTCTGAGGACACGTCGCGGCAGAGATCGCCCTCGCCCTGCGCTGGTTTGCCCTTCTATGAGTGACCGGGAAGACGCATAGCATGCGGGCCGTAGGGTAGGGGAGGGTACACCTAGAGGGCACTGGCTCCGTCGCACGGTGCGCGACCCCTTGGCGCGCGTGTGTGTTCACAGATGCTGCGAGCGATATTGCCACGGTGCATGACGGAGTGTTGAAGCGAACAGTTTCGGAATGCAAGTGACATGGTGGCTCGACATTGCTTGTTTTGCGCGCCGTATTGACCCCAGGTCTCGATCCCCCACAGTGCTGGTGCTGAAAAGCGCCGTCTGTCCGGGCAGGCTGCCGTGGAACGCAACGGAGGGCCAGTGGACAGCTTCAGCGGGCGATGGGAAGCCTCATTGGCGGCCGGGTGGGACCAATGGGCGGCGGTGGGCGGCGGTGCAGCGAGGGCTGGGATGAGATGAGATGAGATGGGGTGGTGGTGGTTGTGGTTGTGGTTGTGGTTGTAGTGGAGGTGGAGGGCCAGGAACGAGGCAGGCTGGAGAGGCACTCGTCGGCCATGGTGGCACAAACAGAACCCCAGACAGTGACGTCTGCAGCGCCCAGTTGCAATCCCATGCAGCCCACGCCCCCAGAGAAAGGCCGCCCGCCCGTGTTTCTCCTTATCTCGCTGCCCCAGCTTCGCCGTGCATAGCCACACCACCCACGGCACCACGGCCACGACGACACGACGACGACGACGGCCACGACCAACGGCCACGACGGCACCCCCAATCCCAACCCCACAGCCAGCGTTGCATCATCTTGCGGACGGCCTCGCCCACGGCACCGCCCACGGCACCGCCTGCTATACACGGGCCCAGCTACTATACGCAGCGCCTTGGGGACCCCGGCCAGCTGCTGATACACGCTGTACGCTGCGCTGCGTCCACAGCCTCACATAGCCACTGGCACCCACCGGCTCCCTCGCCCTCAGCGCGAGCCCAGCGCCTCCGCTCGCCGACACTCACCGCTGCAAAATTTCGCCTGCAGAATTCTCACAATTGCAAATTACGTCGTGCGCTCAACCAACAGGCGCCGCTCCACAGCCGCTGAACCACCAGGCCACGCTTGGCCGGGCAAGTTCCGCTAGCCACTCGCTGCCGGTGCGGTGGGTGTGAGTGCAGGTGTGTGAGGGTGTGTGCGTGCCACTCGACTGCCCTCGACGCCCGCCCGCGCGCGCTGTCACGACCCCCAAGGGATCGCCAAAAACGACTGCGATACCGAAAAGGTCTCGCTCCCACTCCAGCGACACCCTGCACCCGCTGCCGCGGTGCGCCAGTGCGCCTTGGCTACCTTCGGGGGGGGGGGGAGAGGAGGGAGGGGGGCTCGAGTCGTGGAGACGTATCAAGAAATGCGGGTCCTCACGCACACTTGCGTGATGACTTGCGGAGGGCAGCGTTTTCTTTCTGCACGAGCTCCGGCATATCCTCGCCCGCGTCAGCACAGACAGCCCTGACGGCCATCAGTCGACCCCCACACGCCCGCCTAGTTTGATCCATACATATATCCGAGCCCCCCATCATCTCCCCCTTCCGCCCCCCCCCCAACTTTCCCTCTCGGTCACATGCAATCCAACTCTGCCTCGACAGGTTTCGCCAACCTGCTCAACCCCGACACAGCTTCCACTGAACAGCACCAACTCCAGCCCTCCACCCCAACACCAGCCTCCTCCATGGCCGCTGCCACCGTCAGCCTCATGGCTCCACTGCTCCAAAACGCCCCGCAACAGTCAGAGGAGCCCCGACAGGATCTTCCCAGGCCCTACAAGTGCCCTCTCTGCGACAAGGCCTTCCACCGCCTGGAGCACCAGACTCGCCACATCCGAACCCACACGGGCGAGAAGCCTCACGCCTGCACCTTTCCCGGCTGCACAAAGCGATTCTCTCGCTCGGACGAGCTGACTCGGTACGTCGAGTAGAAGCAAATGCCGTCTTTTGTTTCCGCACACAGCTAATCTCCCCCGCAGACACTCGAGGATACACAACAACCCCAACTCGCGGCGAGGCAAGGGCCAGCAGCATGCCGCTGCCCACCAGGCTGCCGTGGCCGCTGTGCAGGCGGGCCTCATGGAGCCCGGTTCCAGCCTGGCCCATATGATGCCTCCGCCAACAAAGCCCATTTCTCGCAGCGCCCCGGGCTCTCAACTCGGCTCACCCAACGTGTCGCCACCCCACTCCTTCTCCAACTACTCGCCAAGCATGGGCAACGACCTCGCGGCCTACCACCAGGGCGGCGTGAGCAGCAGCAGCAGCAGCAGCCCCAACGGCCTGTCCCGCCCCATGGATCTCCTCGCCGATGCCGCGTCGAGACTGGAGCAGCGCCCACCACATTTTTCTCACTCGAGCCGACACCACATCACCAGCGGCTACCACCCCTACGCCAACCGCCTGCCCGGGCTCTCGCAGTATGCCTACTCGTCGCAGCCCATGTCAAGATCGCACTCGCACGAGGACGACGACCCGTATGCGCACCGGATGACGAAGAAGTCTCGCCCGGGCTCGCCTTCATCCACGGCCCCGCCATCGCCTACGTTTTCGCACGACTCGTGCAGTCCCACGCCTGACCACACGCCCCTTGCAACCCCTGCGCACTCGCCAAGGTTACGACCGCATGGATTCAGCGACCTTCAGCTGCCACACCTACGTCATTTGAGCCTGAACCAAAACTTTGTGCCAGCGCTTGCCCCCATGGAGCCATCGACGGAGCGGGAGCAACCTTATGTGCCAAGCCAATCATCGGGACTTCGTATTGGCGACATTATCTCGAAACCCGAGGGAGCGCAGCGCAAATTGCCGGTACCGCAGGTGCCCAAGGTTGCGGTGCAAGATCTGCTCAATGGACCGAGCAACAGCGGCTTCTCTTCCGGAAATAACTCCGCAACGGCGTCATTAGCCGGCGAGGACCTATCGAATCGCAACTAAACCCATTTTCGACTCCCTCGTCGCTCCCTCCCCCACTCCGCATGGCATCGGCGTTTTTTCAGTCAGCATTTTTTTTCAGCATTCCGTCATTCTTCACGTTAGCAAGCGATGAGTTTAGACAAGGGCACACTGTTTTGGAGAGTGTTGCCAGTGGCTTATGACGATTTCCTTATCACAGTACGCGCCCCTCGTACAAGCCAAATAGACTTTTTTTTCTTCTTTCTGTTCTTTTTTTTTCCTCTTCACATCAATGTTTATTTTATTTTTGCGAGTTGTTTTGTCGGATCCAATACCCCGCGAAGCCGCACTTGGCGAATCGCAATCTTGTATGCATTCCAACCCAGCCGTGTTGTTTTAGCATCCGGGCAGGTGGGAAGGAAGGGAAGGGCCTGTGTGTAGTGGTGGTGGTGGTAGTGGTGGTGGTGTGTGTTGGCTGCTGGGTGTGTGGAGAGAGAAGATTAGACAGCTAGTTGCCTAGGTTTAGCGCCCAATTGAAACCCCCCATGAATCCATCCAGCATCCAGGCCCCATGCGCATGGCGCGTTGAAATTTGCGATTACGAGAGACTACGTTATTGCGACGAAGATTTGGCAGTGGGTGACGTGATTGAGGAGCCAAGTGATGCAAGGCAAGGAGAATGATTCGCGGGGAACCCACCATGTCTACGCGCATATGCGAGCCCAGGGCGCTGGGAAATGCTCAGCCTGAGTGTGTGTGTGTGTGCAGTGCAAGTGCTGGCCTGTTCCCCGCAGACGAAGTTTTGTTTGATCATGACGGCTTGGGACGGGGAGTGGTGAACCTTGCACAGGCGGGGATGGTCCGGGCATCACGCCAGCAACACGCCGGGATGGTGGTGGAGATCGGCGCCAAAAAAGTGCGAGTGCAACCACCACCACTTTTGCATCTCCTCCACGTCCAACCTGATCTCCTTGGTGCGGGGGGTTGCGTGTCTCGCCCACCCTTTCCCCCCCTCCTCAACGAGCAAGATGCGGTGAGAGGGCAGCCAACCCCGAGACGAGATGTTTCAGTCCATGGCTGTGTGTTTGTGTGACCACACGCCTTGATTGCAAAGCTAGGCAGGCTATTCTTGTTTCCCCTTTCACATGCCGCGCGATAAGCCTCGCATGACGGTTCTGGTACACGCTGCGGCACCAGCGCTAGCGGGCCTCTCTCATGACACACTCACACACACACACACACACACTCACTGCACACACGCACGCACGCACGCACAAGGGCGGGACACGGTCGCCATCGCCGCCGTCGCCGCCGCCGCCGCCGTCGCCGTCTTGTCGCAAGCAGACATGCAAGGGCATAGCTGGAATGTGGAGTACGTGGCATAAGCAAGCACGACTCTTCCCCGTGGCGCTGCTGCCCTCAGGAGGTGCGTGGTTGCCGCTGCCGGAAGCGGAACACGCGTCGTGACTGCCTAGACGGGGGTGGGGGGAAGGTGCGGGGGGGTTAGGCAGGCAAGAGCGAGCGGAAAAGAGGCAGGAAGAGGCTTTGCACTTGCTGGCGCTGGCACTGGCACTGGCACTCACTCGCCAGTGGGTGTGGGTGGGCGTGCCGATGCCAGTGTGGGCGTGGGCGTGTGGGCGTGCCAATTTCCCACGCCCACGCCCTCGCCCACGCCCGCTGGCTGAGGGAATGCCGGGGCCACATCCTTGCGGGGATCTGTCGAATCGTGGCTGCCTTATCTCTCGTCCCTTCTCGCGCTCCAGCACTGAGCAGCTGGGCGACTTGATGCCCTGGTCAGTCGGCAACCAGCGGATGCTCTCGCTACACCACGCCATTCGACAGGTTCCTCGCCTCCCTCTCCCTCCCTTCCTCTGCTCAGGGCGAGAGGCGCCCACCTCAGAGTCAACCAAGTCGCGCACATGCACAAGCGCCAAAAAAAAAACACCACCACCACACACCCCCTCCCCGCCCACCCAGGCGTGCGCTACTACAGCCTATCTATCGCCTTTGAAACCCCCCCGCCGCTACGACAAACTTATCCCGCCGGTTGATTGAGGGGATGATCTCTGCGGTACAGCTGGGCATGCACCCCGGACTGGAGACGGGCAGCGCACACACTACTCCACAACGCGTAATCCGAGCTATGACGATCTCACCACGGCGACCGTACGACCCGGCAGGTCTGGCGGCTTCTGCTCCGCCGCTCGCTCTCGACACTTTGCGCCGTCTGATCACGGTCGGCCCGGCAGGCGCGGCGCGCAGAGGCGCACAGTAGTGGTTGCGGTGCAATATTATGCCCGACACGACGGCTGCTTGAAAGGAGACGCAGAAGCAACACACGCATTACCGACAGCAATACCGAGACGGGCCTCTGCTTTAGAGTACCTGCCTCACCACCCCATGGGCCACGGCACTTGCCACAACTGGCAAAAGATGAGAGGACGGGGGAAAAAGCAAGTGTCGCCGCAAAGCTCCGTCGTCGTCGACTGCGCGGTCCTGGCCAAACCTGGACGTCGAGGGCTTGGTTAGCTCGCACGCCTTGTGGTTGCCCATCGCCCCCTCGGTACCGGGATGCGCAAAAGCAAAATGTCACGCACGACAAAGGAGAAGGGCTCCTCAACGCCATGTCCACGGTAGTGTCTCAGCTGACGGATCAGTGTTCCAATCTGAGCCTGTTTGCAAATACTCCCACGTAGTCGACTCTTGGGATGCCGACCCAGATAACAGACAGGAAAGCCCGCGGGCCAAGGTGCAAAAATCCTACCACGAATCCTGCCATGCCTCTCTCCGCCCCTTGGGCACTGACTCGCCGATTCAGCGCTCAGCACCAGGCGTCTAGCGAGCTTCTAGAGCCGGCCGCAAATCCAGGCCGCAAATCCACCCTCTGTACCAGAATTGCGTGCGGGTTCCCCACACTGCCCACCAGCCGACCTGCCTGAGCTGGAAGTATTGGCGGTTAAGGCTGCCGCCTGTCGAGTCACGCAAGCAGGTCGGAGATATGACGCCCCCGTCAGCCAGCCTGGGCCGCACGAGGAAGTTGTGCCGGGAGTAAATGCACCACTCACAGCCATGGACGCCGCGTCGTGGAATGTGGAGACACCCTGACTTTGCTGCTCGATCGCCGCGTACGATACCCAAAGCGGTGCAGGTTCCGCCGGGCTCGAGGCCATGCCCATGGCGCCTGGTCGGAAGCCAGTGCAAGTGGGCAGCGTCTCCGATCCGATGCGGCTCTCGCAACACACGCGAAACCAACAGCTCCAACCCGTCTCTGGCTCCCATCCTCTCGCACCCCACGCACCAACAGCTCGCCAGACACGCCCGCATGCGCCAATGTCGACTTGCATCCAGAGCCCTTCTCCGTTTGTCCTTGGGATCGTGCCGGCCACCGGCCATCGAATGTTCGTCGCGCCTTCTTCGCCCTGATACCTTCCCGTTTGACTCGACCTCCGCGTGCAGGGACCGCAATGGGTAAGCAAAAGGCCCTCAGCATAGTTTGCAAAGTACCTGTTCAATCTATCCCCGCACCTGTGCTGCACCACATGTACAAGATGCACAGTCTCGTATGTCCAACGGCGCTTCATCTAAACCCAACGTCGCAGTACCAGGCTGCTGGTACTCTTCTGCCTTAGCGACTGCATCTGGGTCCGCGCCAGCAATATATTCTGTAGATCACATCTGCCCAGATGGCAATATCTAGTGCTCATTACGGCCCTGCGCAAGGGCAATGCACATTATATTACAGCTATGACCGCCGGTTCGTGAACTACGGAGGGGTCTCACATGTGAGCTTCACGAGCGTCCTTCGCCATCACGGACCGCGCGACCTTGCACGCTGCACACGCGCACCTTTCCTGCTTGGACGTCGCTCTCGCCGTAGAGGCCGCATCTGGCATACCGCGCCAGCCATGCCACCGACATGAAGCCGTCGTGGAGAGGACGAGTCTGAGTGCGTATCAGCAGTCGGACTCTTTACGTCACATGCCATGGTGCCGAGTCCCATGTCCAACTTGTCAATGACGCAGCTCAAAAGCCACCATATCTGACATGTTATCCACTTCCAAGATTGCGCTTTTCTTGGACATGCGTCCTTGCCCGGTCCAGCTTGTGCGTATCAGCATACGGCAAAAAGCAGTGAATCAAAGAAGCAAGCGATCGCGCTTTGCGTGCCCCATCGCCCAAACTAAACACAGTGACGCCGACCGAGTCAATCAACCATACTTTGTCTTATCTCGCCGACTCCACCGTCGTGGCACAAACGCCCAAAGATACGTATACCTTAATCTAGGCAGCCATTTATCCGCCTGCTGTTGCAGATAAACGAAAGCAGTCCACACAGCGCCGCAGCACGTTTGAGAGGATTGCCTTTCTGGCTGACTTGCATGCGCCTTCAGGTTGATTAACGTGGGGGTCATGTCACAAAGTATTTTTGGACGACATGCCAATGCCGCAAAGGTGGTTGCGCCGTTGCTTAGTACACACGACTCAAAACTAATCTTAAAACAAAGAGAAGGAGAAAAAATCAATAACCGGAGACTGCCAAGAGTGGTTGGCACATTATGCAAGAGAATGAAGGTGCATGTTGTTGAGTCCCGAATCTGTACCTGCATGCCGCCAGTTCATCATCATCGCTGGCAACAGCCACTCATATCGCACGTCCTTGATATCGATTCATTGTCAGAGTCTCGCCACATCTGATATTGATTTTTCCTTCGACATGTGAAACCGGCCGGGGCCATGGCAACGAGTCACTTGTCGAATCGCGTGCGACCCCGAAGTCCGACCAAAAAGTAAAAAACGAATCAAGACAAATGGTGTCCAAGCGCCCAACAAAAAATGTCATTCTACCCCAGACTGTGGTGCACCCCCCCTGGGGAGCGACTCACCCCTGGTTGAATGAATTCTTCCGTGTAAGGTATACCCGCGGTACCTCGGACCGGCACTCAGTCACGCCAGGCCAATCCTTCACGGAGTCCGGAAGAACTCGGTAGGATAATTGTACCTCGGGCCAAAGTATCTCGCCACCAACATGAATGCGGCTGAATACTCGCACGACAGGTACCATCGGTTGCTGTGTTAGGCATAACCAAGGGATGAGCCGCGCGCGCAGACCAAAAAATTGACTTTTGGGATCCCGTGTTGGAGCCGTTCAATAGACGGGACGGATGGGGCGATGCAACGCCGTTGAGAGCAACAGCCACCACCACGTGCGTCAGCATTGAGCCGCAATTTTTTTTTTGGGGACGAACAATGTCAAGACCCGGTGGCTGATGATCAAGATGATGAAAAGATACTATTGCTTTTCTCGCTCTCAATACTGATACGCAATTACGGAGCTTTGCGCACCCTGCTGTGCAAGGGAGGCGGGTCCATTGCATCTCAAACAATGAAGCAAATTTGTGGAGAAATCGGGTAAGAGGGACATCGGTATAGGGTGAGAGATTGCCCATGTCAGCTCATGTTTGCATGGGCCTTATCTTTTTCTTCGCGACAAGCCGTTTACTTTTCGCAGAAGCAAAGCCACACACGCATACATGCACACGAGCAAACAAAATTAACGAGTGGCAAATTTCATCTTTACGATTAGAATAGTTCTTTTTTTTATTTCTTTCCTATATACATTATGTACAAGGTTCGTACAAAGCAAGATTAAGGGCCCTGGTCCCCCCACTCCCCCCTTCTCTCTCTCTTTCTCACACCCCCGTATTCGGGGCATTTCCGGTGTGGGGAAGCAAAAAAGCCGTTTCTTACTTTTTAATTGCCTCTCTCTGTCGCTGTACTTTTTTTTCAAACTTGCACTTGAACTTTGCTTTTTTCAGAAATACCCTCCGAGATTTGACTACTTGTGCTCGGGATGCCCGCGCCCCCCCACTCCTGCTTCTTGTCGTGCTTGCTCCGCCCCAAATGTGGAGCAACCGGAACATAGCGTTGCACATACAGTAGTTAGTTGCAGATATACCATGTTATGTGCTATCACAGACACATACAGACACACTTGCAGAAAGCAGCGCGACAAAAAAAACGACAATGATGAATGATTAAGGTGTACGCCATGCCATTGAGCCGGGTCCAAACGTCGCAAACGTCAAAATACATACCCATGGGAGCGGGTGAACGGACAAGCGGAGGGGGCCTTGACACACAGCACTGGCACTGGCACAGCGAAAGTCCAAGTCGGAAAAACAAAAAACAAAAGGAAAATCACACTCCGCATTCCCCCTAAACCCCCCCCCCCCAAAAAAAGAAAATGCCAATAATAACGGCATTCGGCAAGTGGGTTCGCGGTGGGATGCAGTGGAGTTGGACTGGACTGGACTGGTTTAAGCATTTGTAGTTGCAGTTGTGATTGCATTGCATATGTAGATGTATGTAGATGTATGTAGATGTAGATGTAGATGTAGATGTGGAGCATGGAGCATGGAGCATGAACTAGGTAAAGTATTTTCCCTTTTGTCCATCTCGGTCTCTACCTGCTCTATTGCTATTGCTTTGGTCTCTGGCTCTAACTGTCCCTCTTTTTTTCTGTCACTCTGTATTCTCTTCCTCCTTTACCTACGTACGTACGTATTTCCCCCCCTGCCCCTCATTTCCAGCGGGCAGGAAAATTAAAAACCCACGATACGTACCCCCCCCCCGCACATATCGGCACTCGATACGCGCCTGTGTGTGTGTATGTGTGTGTGTATCGCGTATCTTTCTCGGTGAGATTTTCTCTCTCTCTCTCTCTTTTTTTTTATTCATCATCCCCGCTGTTTTGGGTGGGTTGCGCTTACATGGATCCTGGTGGATTGGATTGGGTTGGGCTAGGTTGGGGGCGGGCTTGTTTCTACATTTGTTTGCGTGTACTGTAGCATGTACATTAGATAATACATGCATGTATATAAGTGTGTAGTTTTATTGCGGCTTGTCACTTCGCTTGGCCTGTTTGGTTTTCAATGCGCTTGGCGGTTCCGGCAGGCCGATTGACCGACTGAATGACCGATTGACTGACTAACTGACTGACCGATTGACCGGGCTAGCTAGGCTGGGCTGGCTGGGATAACTGCGGCGGTGGGTGCTGCGAAGATAGATTGCTTACGAAATTCGTGATTTGCTATTTGCTATTTGCTATTTGCTATTTGCGGGTTGTGGGTTGTGGGGTTTGTGGGGTTGGCTTGTTACGTGCGAGAGAGAAAGAGAGAGAGAGACATGATGAAGAAAATGAAGCTTCGAGTTTCACATACAGACGCATGCACTCGCGCATGCATACACGCGCGCGCACTATACTCGCAGCTCAGACGCAATCCTCTCTTTTTTTCTTTTTTTTCTCTCTCTCTCGCGATCTGCACAGCGAGTCTATGTACGAACTTGTATGTGTATATACACACGCACGCACACACACACACACACACACGCGCGCGCGCGCAAATATGATAATAATACGGGAAAATTCCATTTCGTCTCTCTTATGTGTGTGCGACTAAGTAAGCCAGTCCAGGGCGAAGCCACTCAAAGTTTATGCGAATTACCGAGTTACCGAATGGTGGGATTTTGTTTTCCCTTTTTTTTATTCCCCCCTCCCCCCCTTCCTCCCTATCTTGCCTGCTGTCTTGCTTGCTTGCAGTCTTGCATGGACCGAAATGTAGAGTAAGCTTACACACACACACACACACACACACATACACGAGTCGAGAATGTATGTAGTACATACACATGATTGCTCAACACACAAGTAAGTATTGGTTCTATCTAAACACCCCGCTGCTGCATGCTATCTTGCTATCTGGTCTTGTCCGGTCCGCTCAGCTGTGCTCTCCGGTGCTACTAGCATGTACAGTCTGCATTTCTCTCCTTGTGGATTTAAACTTTATGCACACATAGCAACAACGCTTTGCCATTGGTTTTGACGCGATAACATAAGATGTCGTATGTATAATAGCTGCTGTCTAGATACAGATTCGGCATAGTCAAAAGCCGCGCTACTGCACACCCTTTTGCGATTACCACACCCCCCCTCCTTTTACCTCGTGTATCCGCTGCATTATCTTTGTGCACTAGAAGCAGCATTTGCACAAGGTTAATCCGTGTAAAGACCCATGGGTACAAACTAGAACCCGCAGCATCTCCCGTCTGTTGTTGACGTTGGACAAACGTTGTGCTACTTATCCGTGGTGCCGCGCTGGCACGGCCCTAACACAAGTATTGATTTGTTGCTACGCACATGCCCCGCGCTGCGCACGCGTGTAGATATGAAACCATGTACTGTGATGGGTTGAGAGAACTTTCTCCAGAGTTTTCACCCGCATGTGTTGGGAAAGTACAAGGTTCACTTCTCAAGGGGATGCTTTTTCTCGTCATGCGCTATGTAGGGTGGTTCGATCGATAGGTCATCACTGGTAAGTGCTATTTCGCATATCGACGCACATGCCATGGACACATAGGCTAAAACAAGTCGTGGATATGCGGTCTTAGGATATAATGCTAGACGCTGCAACTGGCATATAGATGGCCGGTAGGTAGGGTGTTGGCGTGATATCGTACTCTCTGCGTTTCCTTGCATGAACAATGTAGTATGCATGAATCGATTCGACAACAAGAAACACACTGATATGCAGTCTTGTTATCAACGAATATTACGCACCGATTCAAGTTCAATCACGACATGTCTGCCTCATCCTGCTCTTCGCGCTTCCTGATTCCCCGTTTAAGAAAGTAAAACGGCAACACCATCAATATGGAAACCTCCGTAAAGGGGAACTGACTGACAACCCCGCTGCATTCCCCTCACGCAGAGAATATCAGGTGCGCCGCAAACGCCCAAAACCGAAGATCTTGGACGGTTTTTCGGCTTCGGCACCGAGGCGCCCGGAACGATACACACACATGTACTCGTACGCACCAAGGAGCCGCCGCAGCACTCGGATAACCCGCCGTGCGTGCATCCCTCTTCTGTGTGTGTGCGCGTGCGTGCATCATGTGCGTCCCATCTGGATGGGGGTAAGAGAGATCAACGGGAGGAAGCGAGGCGAGACGAGATGCGACAAGGCGAGACTACAAATTGCATTCATGCCGGACGCGTCCCAACGCTAGCCAGCCCCATATGTGGAGACGGAGCGTGGGGTAGGGGAAAAAAGGGGGGGGTGAAATAGTGACATTTTGGGTTGTTCTTTGTTGGACTTGCTTAGGGACCTTCTCTCTTGGGAAGTCCAGGGATGACAAAGAGGAGTACTAGTTGGTTGGTGGTGGTAGAAGTGCCATGGCCGATGCTATGCGCTGCGCTCCTGTTCTCTGCTGCCCGAAAGCCTCACTCTTTTTTGTGAAGCGAGTCCGATAGGCGTTCGGAAAGCCAAAAACGTCTTCATCTGCGTCCTTGACAAAGGCTTCCGGTTGTGGCAGAGTAGCGGTGAGGGGCGGCGGCGACGATCCTATTATCGTACCCGCTCATTCCGAGAGGACGACTTCTGGAGCTTGGGGGTCTGGACAAAGGCTGCATGGGAAAGTGGTGTTTGTCTGGCAGGCCTCGAGCATCGGGCGCCACAGTGGGGCCATAAGGCGCAATGGTATACATGGCTTGTCGTGCTGTGTTTGTCATTACTCGACTCCGCAGCCTTCTCGTGCCGTCCGCTCCTATCACGTACTCGGGTGGCTACTCCATGGTGTGTGCCACCATGCATCTTCGTAATGACGAGCAGCTTTTTCGTGCGCCCCCACGCCCAGATCACCCATCGACCCCGCTGACCCCAGACTTGCGAAGCCTCCAAGCATGTCATGTCAGCATCAGCAAAAGGCGCGACTTTTACCGGTGAGAGAGACCGAGTGCTTGGATCCGGGGGCGCTTCCCCGATCCCTGCGTGTCCTCCAGTTAGTGTGCACCACAGTGCTGGTGTGACACACTCCTGCGTGAAGTTTGGGTAATCCATATTTGCTTTTGTTCGCATGTCGGGGCGGGATACCGCTAGTGTGGCAACATGAGAATGCATGCCGCATGCCATCAGTCGACAAAGTTGCAGTGCCCATTTGCCGGCGGGAGAATGGACGACACCTTGGCTGGGCCCTTGATAAGGGAAATGCCTAACGGGTCATCAAGACAGCTTTTGCTGCTGATGTCAGAGCGCTTGATGAGTGTGTCCGGGTCTATACCTATGCAAAGCCGACGTGTGGGTGATCATCCGGGGCGCTGCTGCGCGTCTGGATGACCCCACACGGCTGAGCAGCGAACCTGTGCCATGGGCCGTGGGTGGCCTGTCTCATCGGTCAGGATGCGAGATGTGCATCTTCATTGGAAGCTTACGTCTGGGGGAGTAAGGGGGTACGAGCCTACCCCCGATGCAAGCACACTTTGTCGGGTTAGCGCCGGTGTATCGGTGCGGCGCAACAACGTCGTGAATGTTGATTCATGCTGCGGCATGTGAAAAGACACACAGCCAATCTCAGTCTTGAGCAGGAGAAGTTCGTGTAATCTTCTTCCTGTGGCTGTCTGTAACGACATCTAAGTGGGAGCTTGCGTCGTCTTCATTGATAAGGGCTTCGTCAATCAGCAAGCCCTCGGTGCCAACTTCATCGTCCTCTATCCAGCCATACAGCTCGTCAGAATTTGGTTCTTCACCAGCATCCTCGTCAATTTCGGCAAATGCTCTTTTCGATGGGCGGGTTTGTGCTGAAACAAGGAACGGTGCTGTAATGTCGTTGGCCGTTATGCTTATGTCGCAAAGACCACTCTGTATCGCGTCAGTGGGATATCTCCACGGAGGACAGCTGACCGAACCTCTCCCGATCAAGGTTCTCCGGCTGATTGGCTGACTCACAGTTTCAATGGTAAAGGCCACCACATTGCCAACACCCCCTTCTTCTGCAAGAGCGACGCCATTTACTTTGACAAGGCCGGCGAATCGGGCTCTTTGCAGTCTATCGGCGTCTGACTTGTCATTGGGTTTCCCGTGTCGGACCCAGTCTCTGAAGAGAACCAGCCGAGTGGATATGCCGGTTTCCCACTCGACCCCTGATATTGCCGGTACCAATAATGCTCGTGAGGCCCCTCGGATACGTGTGATGGTCTGACTTGTGATAAGCAAGGCGATATCGTGCCGTGCAGCAAACCTGGTAAATGCCGAGATTAGCTCATTCACCACGGAAAATCGACGTCCTGCAGCCCATCGCGCCTGCTCCGTCTTGTTTTTGGCCTGGCGATCTTCTGCATGGCGGGGGTATGCATTATCGACGAGAGTTGCGAGCGAGTCGATGACTACCAGGCTCGTGTCTTGCGGGGGAAACACAGCCGGTGGGTGTATAAAGAGAGCCAGGACATGTGCAAGCGTAGGTGCGGCTGTATAGTGAAAACGACCGTGCATATCCTCTAGAGACACCGCGGGTGATTCCGACTTCTCTCCAGACCGATGCGGGGGACCTTGTCGACATGAGGCAAGCATCTCACTGACACGGCGCTGCACCAGAGGCGCACAGGCGGCATCTACAAGCCATTAGCCTTCCAGCCCACTGCTTGGATAGCGCTGGCCCGGTGCCTTTTGTCGCATCTACTCACCAATCCAAACAACTCGCTGGCCCTCGTGCAATGCCGAGACGGCGGCTTGTATCCTGGATTGCCTTCAACCACCGTCATAGTGAGGCTGCAATATGACCACAATTACCCAAATGCCGTCTTCCCGACTCCCGACGGGCCAAATATCTCAGTCACTTTGCCGCGTATATATCCGCCCGAAACATCGTGGCCTGGAGGACTCGGTGCCGAGAGGACCTTGTCGAGCTGTGTGATGCCTGTTGATACCGTGCGGGCGCCACGGGCGTTGAAGTGCTGGAGAGCTTGCGATGCCGAGACGGTGGGAAGCCTGTCTGCTTTGATATGAATATGTAGCTGAGCACGGGGGGAATGTAGCTACTCACGCGACGACGGCGAGGGCTGCGCGGCTTCTTCGCCCGCCATGGTGTCAAGGAATGCAATTGAGCAAGCTTCAGCGGGAAGGTCGAGGGTCGTGGCGGTGCTGTGATACTGCCTTGTCGCGCATCACGTCGGGAGCTGTTCTGCACGCTTGGGAGTTGTGGTAGAGGGGCAGCAGTCGCGTGGTCGAGGTGCGGTTGATGCGCTCATGGCACGATGTCACGAGCACAGCCGAGCCACCGCACATGACTCAGCCCTCCTCACTTCATTCCAGGCGTCTTCGACCACCACGCATCCGCAGCTGAGCAGGTCGGACAAAGGCTCAGCATAGAGACAACCGTCTGTCCTTTTGCTCCTCCATCATAACGCCTGCCTCGTATGTATTAGCGTCGACGAATTTTGCTGGGCTCACGTCTCGGCGTTTTCGCGATAAGAGCCGTGTCTTCCAACCGCCCCATTTCTCTCTGAACTGGCCACGCGACATCTTCGCCGAAATGGCCGACAATTCTTTTGGGGGAGATGCGTTCCTCACAGAAGCTGGAATCAACATCACGCTCCAGGGCCTCCTAATCACGGCACTCGTTGCCTTCTCCCCGTTCATAGTTCTGCTCGCCCTCGCCCTCTCACAGACCCCTAGAGCACTACCTCCCCCAGCTGGCTGCCGGAAACTTGGGATCAAAGGGCGCAGCAACTTTGAAGACCAGTACTCCAAAAGATATGCCAAAGGCGGCGACCCTACCCCAGAGAAGCCATGGACAGTAAAAGCACTCTTCATCTACCCATTGAAATCCGGAGCCCCGATTGAGTTGGAAAAAAGCGATGTTGTTCGAACCGGCCTGAAATACGATCGTCAATTTACCCTTGCACAACAAGTTACTAGCCTGCCAACTCTGGAGGGCAAAGTCACCAGCGAATGGCAATTCATGACCCAGCGAAAGTTTCCCCGTCTTGCGAAAGTTGAGACCGAGGTATGGGTACCTGATCCATCAGCAAAAGGTTACAATGAAGATGGGGAATGGGTCAAGAGTGACGGTTGTCTTGTAATTCGATTTCCTTTCTCGCCAGATACCGACTTCACCAAAGAAGGCCTCATCAGCTATGGAAAGATTCTGGCAGCAAAGCTGAGTGGCAGACCAGAGCCAATGCTAGAATTCAGGGTACCCTTCAATCCACCGCAAGAGAGAATCAAGAGCAAGGATTACAAGAACGAGACTTTGCGCATTTGGAGCGACAGTCCGGTCGCCTTAAACATGACCTCAGAAGTGGATCGCGAAACCTTTGCAAAGCTAAGATATACTCTTGGTGCGGCAAATCCCATTGCACTATTCAGAATCGACACGAATGCGCATCGCGAAGTGTTTAAGTGTGCACCAAGGAAAGCGGACGTAGGATTTCAACCGATTATTGGAATGCAAGATTCAGTACGTTCAACATCCGTTCTCTGTCCTAGCTTTGTACACTGTCAGAATATACGCTGTAAGATTAAATTTTACTGATAGCGCCCATAGTACCCGATTCATATCATAAACATGGCTTCTATCCATGATGTAGCGTCCAGACTCCCTGGCGTACATCCGAAATCAGAACACATCTGGCAAAACAAACACACTCTCCTCGACGGCATGCGATTCCGAGCAAACATCTACATCACCGGCCCTCCCGCTTTCGCTGAAGACCACTGGAAAAAGGCTAAACTGGTATCTTCATCTGATCCCCCCTCATCGCTGGACTTGCACATTTCGTGCCGCACCACGAGGTGCAAGTTGCCGAACGTTGATCAAAAGACGGCTGAGCCAGATCCCAATGAACCCTCGACTACCTTGAGTAGCTATAGGGTTATCGATGAAGGGAGCAAGAGCGCTTGCTTGGGGATGCAAGTGACGCCGTTGGAGGATGGCTGTGTAGCTGTGGGCGATAAGATTGAGCTACTAGAAACTGGAGAGCATCGATTTATTACCGGAGAAGGACCAAAAGTCGCTGGATAAAGCGGAAAGAGAGTCTTTAAATCTACAAGAGCCCATGATAAACAAAATGACCAAGAACACGGACGAACAACATAAATCCGTTGCTTTCCCTGACTATTTACACGTCTATTTGCTGGAGTTCTGCGGCGTGCAGCGAAAGCGGCACGTGGACCAACCCCAGCGTAACGTTCATAGCCTAAAACGCCGTATGCATCTATTAGTCAGCTATCTTGAGTTCATTTGATGTGAAGAAGTAGAGGAAGAGTCTAGCTCTCTGTAATGCAAAGGTCATGTGACACAGACTGCTGACAGATGCACTTTCCATGCTTTGACGCTTGCCTCAACTTCGGGTAAACATTGAACATCATGGCTATTCTACCTCAACGACCTCGAGATCCTATGCAGCTTTCCCGTCTCACTCATTATTGCTTTAGTTCTTTACCGGCAGAACACGTTAAATATGACGAGAATCACGGCTTCGTTAGGGGCCAAGTCTGCCTTATGTCACAAGGCTGAGTTCTTACCTGCATCTCGGGATGCGCCACTGACCAAGACAGCTGAACTGAAACCTGGCTTCTTCGAGTGCTCTTCCATCTCACAATGCACTTGAGAGTTGTTTGCGACCAAGAATGATCGAGAACGGCAGACCCTCTGTCTATCACCGCTAGCGTAGTCGCTCTCATAAAGGTATCTGTTGAGGTGGCTACACTTATCAAGCATTTTCGCGATGAGACGAAAATTGTGGATGCGACGCTCATGGGTCTCCTCAGCGATGTGGAGGGTTTCCAGCGGGTACTTGAGTCTATGAGGGAGACCATCGACCAAAGCGACGTCAAATCAAACCTACAATCGACGGGACATGTTGGTACCCACTGGAAGAATCTTGCGCGCTCACTGAACGATGGCACCGATGTTGTACAAAAGCTGCACACCTTGCTGGACGGTATCAACAAGAAGACGCCACTCCTCGATGCTCCACGGAAACTGCTTAGATTAAGGAGTGCCTCTACACAGATCCTAGATTATAGAGAGAAGATACAGTCGTCACACACAGCACTTCAGCTTTCGCTCAGCACAATCATTCTGTAAGTCAACCTGATCCTTGCCAGTGTCGGCCTACTTCTGTTATCTCAGACATCAGCGCATATAAAGTTCCTGGTTTATGATCGCGATGCTCTTACTCATGCTACCCAGCTGGAATCAGGTGGCCTTCCAAAGATCAACGGAAGGGATACCAGATAAGATCGTTCCGACCCTGGACAAACTTTACTATGAGTTCCGCACATTTGGAGCTCTTCTCAATGCGAAGTTCGGAAAATTACAAGGTGCAGTCACAGACTCTAGCGATCTGAACACCCAAGAATTCAACTACATGAGCAATTTGCGGGAGTGCGTTCAATCAGCTGCTGATGTCGTATCAACTGCGTCAACAACTCTCAATGCAGACCCCAGCGATAAGATTTCCGCCAGATATGGCTCAGGTTTCGGGGACGTATTTATCAGAGACGCAAATGAGCCAATGCTACGCTGGTTCGCTGCAAGTACCGTGTATGAATACGAAGACATAGAAACGGCCATTCCAGCCCCGTCCGAGACCAGCACTGGCAATGCCCTGACAGAATACCAGTCTGATACCGACTCGGATATAGAGAGTGACTTGATTAGATCTTTGTTCAAGGAGGCCAAGAAGCGGAAGGAGCAGGGTGATTTGACGGGTGCGATCCGTCATTTCCAGAACTGCCTAAAGAGATTTTCTTCAAACACGAGCTATGCATCACCCACAGCAACTCAAAGATTCACGGTTTGCGGCGTGTCGAAAGGCGAATTACTAGAACACCTGGTCGATTCCTATTGTCTAATAGGCTCATGGGGCAAAGCAAAATCCACCATGGCAGAGAAGCTACTTATCACGGAGCACCAGGTGGGCAAGAAGGACGAGATTTACTTGAAGGATACTATGAAACTCGCCGAGCTCATGATGATAAACCAAGACTATGTTGAAGCTCACCTCCAGGGTCGCCGGTCCCTGCGAGGGTTCAGAAAGCTGGAAAAAAACGGACATGATGGATACGAAAATTGTTTGGCATTCCTGATACAGATATCTAAAATGGAAGGCAAGGTCGACGAAGAAGAGGCCTATACAGCCCTACTTGTGGGACATGCAAGGGCCCTGGAACGGTCGGTCCCGGAATTTCAGTCTACGATGTCATATCCAAACGCTGTTCAACTACAGCCTTCTTCCAATCCAGGCTTTGGGGCTCGGTTGGAAATGACCATCAATGTCTCAGAACAGATGCAAGAAGCACCGCTACAGTCGAAACTCATGAGCCAAGAGGCTCCATCATCTGCATCGTCTGAGATGTACAGCTCACCTCCTCCGCAACATCCCCCTGGAGATGATGTTGGTACTGCTGACCTAGGTCTTATGGACGAGCAAGATGTGCGCAGTTTGGAGATGGAAGAGCTCAAGAGTTCAAAGTCTAGAGATCAGGATGAACAGTTTCACCCTGCGCCAGAGGACTTTGTTCTTTACTATACCCCGAACCATATCAAAACCACCATGCCCAATAGGGAGCTCTCCATTTTATCATATATTGCAGTTCAGGGAGACACATTGGACAAAGTGAACGTGGATCAAGAAAGCAAGTCAAACAAAGAGAAGCCGTATGTTTTGGACACACCGCTCCACGAGCCCATGGAGATGCACCACATGGGGAACCCTGAACAGTTTGACAGAGAGGAGCTTGTCCGGAACCCCACCATCGAGACTGGTGAGCTTCGCAAGAAGGTCTATCCTATCACAGAGAGCCTTGGGGCGGCCACTAACAATGGAACGACTGTTGGACCTGCTACCTTGACTGACTGTGTTTCTGTCACGGCTAAGAATTCCAGAATGAAAGGGTTGGTGGAACCGCTAGCTGAAGACGAGAAACCGATAATGCTCGGGCAAGAACCGTCATTTACAATATACCCTCCCTTGTCTACAGGCTGTACACCCGCAGCTGTGGCCACATTGGAACGCGTCCCAAAAGAATGTTATAGACTACCTTCTCCAATATACGGCTCTGGTCATCCCGGTGGCGTCATTGAATCTCAGTGTATTCTTAATAGGGTGGCCAGGGAAGACAATGCTAAGCTGAATAAGGAAGGGGACATGACAAGCATCGATTTTCTCAAAGAGTATTGTAAAATGTATGGCCAGGAACCTCGTTACACGACCTACCGGAGCCTCTCAGGATTCACTTGCACTGTGAGAATCAGCAATACGCAGCATTGTACGGTATCGGGCTACCTAACAGATCACCAAGCGAATAACGCTGCTGCTGCCAAAGCATGCAGAACGTACATATCAGCAAGAGATACTGATATTGTGATGAGAATCTTGGGACGACCTGATTCCGACTCTGATAAAGAGGTCTACACTCCGATATCTACGGAGGAAGAAACGACGAAAACCGCATATTCACCATTTGGTAACACTTCAGCTATGCCTCGAATCCTATTCACGGAAGATACTCAGAATATTGAAGCCATCAGCAATATTTCCAGCTTGCAACAGTCCTCATTCGACTCTAGTGACCAAGCAACAGGCCAGCGCCTGCTGGGCAAGATCCGGGGAATACCTTTTGCTGCATTCAAGAGTGCAGCAAGCCTTCATATGCCCCGCCTCGGTTTCTTCATGCCGACGCAGAACCCCAGTGACAGGGACCCCCCTAAGTATCTCTCTACCTGCCCCTTTTGCGATAAGAATATGTCTGGGTTTTCTGAAACAGCCTGCAACGTTCACCTAGCTATCTGTACGACAAATTCCGATGGAGGTTCCTCGGTATTCTCCAAAGTCGCCCAATGCCCTTTTTGCAAGATATCCTTGTCAAAAATGACAGAAGATGCTTGCTTACTTCATGTAAACAGCTGCAGGGATACAAAATCGGTCTCTACAGGTGTAACACAACCAAGTGGACAACAAAACGGAAATCTAGGAAGTTCAGTCTCTAGCTGGTCTCCTTCCAGCATCATCACGCCGACTGAGGGTACATGGGCATGCCACTGGTGCAAATCAGATCGTCTTCAGTACTTGCACGAAACCCAATGTCGCGTTTGTTCAGTATCTAGGCATAGCCTTTCCCCAAGCTCCATCAATGGCTTCAACCGTCTCCCTTGGGATCGCTTCCAGAGTTCACCAAAACCTTCTCACATTCTGATAAAACAAGTCACACCAAAAACTATCAACCGTCGAAAGATAGTGTTGCTTGGTGATACGATGTGTGGCAAAACTTACCTTGCTAGCACATGGAGTAAAGATCAATGCCTGGACTCAGAGGCATCTGTGATGAACCACTTCATCAAATCAGTGGCTATAGAGAGCTGCCAAGTTGAGCTTGTCATATGGGATAATACCGGGATAAATGAAAACGACAGATTGCGACGTCTTTCGTACAAGGATGTGCACATGTTGTTGATCTGTTTCGACATTAGCGACCCTGATTCATTCGAGAACGTGGAATACATGGTTTGTTTGACCTGCTGAATGCTCAGATAGACTTTAGCTAACAGTAATAGTGGAATGCTGAAGCCGCGCAATTTCTTGCCAGGGTGCCCAAGGTACTTGTCGGGTGCAAGAAAGACCTGCGTAACAGTACCCAAACGCTCTCTAGATTGCGGCGTCAGGATATGATGCCGATATCTCCTTATGCAGTATGTATGGCTAGTTTCATGATGATAGCTAAGCTAAACAAGAATGTAGGCGAACAAGCTAGCAATCAGGATAGGGGCGTTGGCATACTTTGAAACATCGGCTGTTGAGAAGCAAGGCCTCTCGGATCTCTTTGAATATGTCGCAAAGACCGCATTAGAGATATCGCCAAAGTCGGGATTGAGCGGCATACGCGGAGCTCTTTCAAAAATTGAGATTAAGTCAAGCTCTGAGTTGAAATGATTTGATCCGTGGAGTTTTTTGGAGTGTATATGGCTTCAGGCATGGTCGTCCTTATGAAGATCGAAGTTCGGGTCCCAAATATCTGCTGGAAGTGGTAAAGTATGTTATTGTACCCGATATGTAGTCTTTCAAATGCGAGAAGGGTCAATCTGGGAGAAATACACCCAAGGAACGTGCCGCGATTGTGGAAGTGAGTTGGTGGTTGAAAATTCAATCTGAATACAGGTGCAAATGGTAACCGGAGGATTTATTACCTAGAATGCATGATTTTGTTCTGGTTAGAAGACCCATAGCAACCACAAAGCGTTCATTCTAATGGTTCAGGGGTCACTTCGCTACATCGCAGTATGTTGTGAAAAGCTGTTAGACTACCGACTATAGACACTCTAACAAACTATACTTGGAGCTGTTTTCCCACAGAAGCAGTAGAGTAAATGAGACTGAGACAACTCATGAACCACTCTCTACCTTTCTTCCTTGACACAATCTTGATATAGCATCCAAATCCCACTCTCCTTCGCTGGCTTGCTTGAAGCATAGTCCGGATCACACAACAATTGATCCAGGGTCTCCTGCTCAATTTCTTTCCTCTCCTGAATGCTTGCTCCTCTGTACCGCTTCCGTATCCTCAACACAGTGTCCCACGCCCTCCTATCAACACGCTCAATCATATCCTCGTACCTATCAAACTCGTCTTTATACTCGACCGGCACGTCTGCGTACATAAAGTCCTGTGTCTCCACCGCATGCACCGCCCATGCTCTACCCTCGAAAAAGTAGTCATGGCACTCACGCCCGGGACACTTGAACCACTCTTCCTCGCTGAGATAGCTTCGCTCAGCCGCTTGAATGCGCAGTGCATGCCGCGCACGCCGCATCCTCAGACACCGGTCAATCTGGTACTGGGCTTGAGCATACTCGCCCATGGGCCCACGCCACGCTTTCGGCGGGAGAAGCACACTCTGGCGCACCCACTCCGGGTCCGTTAGTTCCCAGCCGGCGGCGCCAAAGCGGCCGCGATACCTTATCCCGCGGTGTGTACTGGCATCGCCGGCTGTGATGACGGATGCAAAGGCGTCGATACCGCGCGGCCGCTTCTGCAGCACTCGTTTCAGAAGCTCGAGCGAGATAGTCCTTGTTATGCGCGGCGCATCATGGCTGACGACGACACGCTCGAGCCGAGGAGCCAGACGCTGTAGTGCGCGCCAAAAGCCGTATATCTGCTCGTCCTGCTCGTCCGTAGCCGGGGGCATCACCTCGCGTACATGTTCAAACCTGATTTCGAGCTGACGCACCCGCCGCAGAAACTCAGTCACACAGTGCGTTTCTCCGGGAAACCCGCCTGCAAGCAGCCAGGTACCGTCGAGGGAATACCAGGTATCCGGGCGAGCCCAGAAGAGCTTGCTGGCGGCGTGCCGCAGCGCGCTGCAAGTGTGCATGAGCCGGAAGAGCGTGGCGCTGCTGCAGAAACTCAGTACGTGGACTTGCAGCTCGGCCGGTAGCCGGCTGAAGTCTGGGAAACCCGTCTTGGCGGATTTTGTCGTGGTGCCAGCGACGAAGTCGAGTTGCACGTAGCTTGCAAATGAAGTACGCGTCTCGCCGCATTCTGTTGCATGGAGGTGCCAGCCTATTGGCCCTGTGCTGGGACTACCGGGGACTATGTTGAAGAAAGGTAGCATGACTTGTAAGAGGCAAGGGAGAGGGGTATCAGGCTTCTAATGGTGATGCTGTACGTGTATGTAGCATATAGCATGGTTAGCGAGGCTGCCTGTTAGTTCTTGCCACGGTATCAGGCAACCACTGCACATGCATCATAACTATTCCCCCATGGCAAGATAGAATTTCCGTAATCCCTTTTTTCTCATTGAATATATTCAATTTCTTTGAACAAGATCTGCACATGATATCACTTCCCCCAAATCCGCACCCAAATCAGACAAAACTCTTAATTACTTTTAGAAGAAAAAAAATCAATGTTAGACATCACACTAGATCTTGATACCCTCCAGAATAGGCTTCGCCTCGTCAGACTGCCACCAGCCGTCCTTTCCACCAGGGAAGCTGAACTTGTCCATGCTCTCGGGCTTCATCTCGACCGAGTAACCAGGGTCCATGGGAGTGACATAGTATCCATTCTCGATGCGGCTGGGGTGGAAGAAGTGCTCGTGGAGATGGTCGACGTACTCCAAGACACTCTTCTTGCCACTGACGACAACGTAGTCAATAGTGGAAAGATGCTGCGTGTACTCTGGCAGACCGACACCGCCCGAGTGGGGGACAATGGGGATGTTGAACTTGGCGGCCATGAGAAGCACGGCAATGACTTCGTTTACACCGCCGAGACGGCACGCGTCGATCTGGCAGATGTCGATTGCGCCCGAGGCGAGGAACTGCTTGAACATGACGCGGTTCTGACACATTTCGCCCGTGGCAACGCCAATGTTGTAAGGCTTGAGGGCTTCGCGGATGGCTTTGTGGCCGAGGACTAGATGATTTTCGCGTTAGTATTAGTATTGCTGCAAGAAGAAGGGAAAGAACGTACCATCGTCGGGGCTGGTAGGCTCCTCGATGAACCACGGCTTGAACTCCTTCAGCTCCTTCATGTACTCAATCGCCTCGGGTACACTCCACACTTGATTTGCGTCCACCATGAGCACGTTGCCCTTGTCAAAGCCGATAATCTCTCGTGCGATGCTCAGTCTCTGCTTGTCCTGGGCAATATTGCTTCCAACCTTGAGCTTGAAGTGCTTGTAGCCCTTGGATAGCGTGTCCTGCAGCAGTCCACGCATCTTGTCCTCGCCGTAGCCCAGCCATCCGGCAGAGGTGGTGTAGGCAGGCACAGCACGGCTATCGAGAGCTTCTTGCAGTCGCTCTTTCTTGCCGGCTTCGGCTTTTGTGAGAATCTCCAAGGCCTCCTCTGGGGTCAGGGCATCGGTAATGTAGCGGAAGTCGATTAGGTCGACGATTTGCTGTGGGGTCATGTCTGCTACTATGCGCCAGACGGGCTTGCCCAGCGATTTGGCCCACAGGTCCCAGATGGCGTTGACCACGGCGCCGAGAGCAAGGTGAATGACACCCTTTTCGGGGCCAATCCACCGCAGTTGAGAGTCGTTTACAAGATGGCGCCATGTTTTGCCCCAGTTGGCGACCAGCGAGTCGAGAGTGTGTCCTTTGATACGGTCTGCAAGGTGCGCAATGGCTGTGCATACTATTTCGTTTCCACGACCGATTGTGAAAGTCTTGAAATTGTGTTAGAAAGATGCCTGTATTTGATAGAATGTCTTGCGGACGGCGAGTATATGTTACGCGGCTTGAAGACATCATGATGCATGGTACCAAGTCACATATGTGCAGAACCGAGCTTTCTTCATTTCTACCTCTTTCGTACCGCAACAAAATGACAGATTCTTGACTTACCATGCCGTGACCTTTTAGATCTGAGTCAGTATGTAGGATGCAATAGGCTGAAGAGTAGTCTCCCGCAGCGTTCATGGCATCAGAGCCAGTCTTATCGAGGGATGTCTAAGTCGACGCATCAGCTTCTCTGTCTATACTGCCTGCAAGATATGCTTGAGTAGACAACGTACCGGAAACCGCACATCCCTTGTCTCGGCGCCTGTGATTGTGACCATGACGATAGTATGTGTGTGTTATGTTGTTATGATTCGGAATGCCTCGGAATTTAGCGATACCCCGCTAATAGTCTGAAGCAATTGAACTTGTGCTGTGTAATTGAGCAAAAGATGAAGATGGGGAGAGGAGGAGAGGAGAGAATGACGAAGACACGTGTGCCTTTCTTTGCGGGAGGAGAAAAGATCTAGACGTCTATTTAACTGGCAAGCCATCCACGCGACCCTCCACGCACCTCCACAATGATAGTCCCAACTACCATGGGCCCGTCGTAGCGCAACCCCACCTGCCCCTCATCATTCGTGGAAGAACTCTGCCGCGCCACTACCTGGGACTGGCAAAACCGGGGCTTTTGCAATCGCTCTACTGCTGCCGACGTTTTATTTACCTCACACGTGAGGGTTCTCGGTCCCTTCAGCAATCAGGTGGCATCCTGGTCTACATGTGCAGAGAGGTGGCTCAAATGCTTCGCGCCTAGGCGAAAAGCTTGGGGTTGACAACGCATTGCCAGGCTGGAACGCCTCAAGCGCCGAACAACAACAACAAGTGCCATGTCTCCAAGAAGATGAGGCTCTTCAGAACTACGGTTTATCTTCAGACTTAGCCTTGAGTTACTCATCCGTGGACGGCATGATCAAACGCCACGGCAAATTAGTTTTGCCGCCGGCGGGAGGGGACATGGTTTCAAGTGTCAGCTTGAGCTCGAGAGTACCAGGCTCACCAGCCTGATCCCGGCATAACAGAAACAGATTCATCAGTACATAGGCTCCGGCTGAAGCTGATAGAAGAAGCGCCACGGGCCTGTTTGTTAACAACGCACAAAGCAAAAATGAATAGACGGACCTGACTGGATACTCCATTCTCTCGATACCCATTAACTACACTTCGTATCGTGATGCAAGATCCGAGGACCCTACAACGCGTCAATAGCTACTCAAGGCAAGATTGCCTAGATACTCACTCGCCCGAACCATGGGGAATGCCCAAGTCATTGGTCTTGAGACGTAGTGATGGCCGGCTTTTGAACATGTACGCCAAGGCGAGAAACCTATTTGATACCTCTCTTTTCAGTCTCACTGTAGTAGATGACCATACGCCAAAGCTTCTTCACAAGAGCTTCTGCTTCCTCATCGAGGGCCTAGACTTGATGTTAGCAAGACAACACACGCATACGGATGAGAGAAGACTTACAACTTCCAGATTCTCCACCAAGGCCTGTGGATCGCCCCTACTCTTCAAGTGTTCAACAATGGCATCAACCAGCATTTCTTCTTGAACACCCATGACTTCAAGAACCTTGTTGCCAGCCCATTCTTTGATGTCCTTGTCAATGTTCTTCTCGGGCAAATGTTCCCAAGAGACAGGCCACTTCCACAGACCCTCCTTGTCGTTGGGAATATCACGCGCAAGCTGTCGCTGCGCTTCTTCAATTTCTTCCTGGGTAAGATTGGCCCGGACGGCAGCATCAAAGTTGATGGGAATAAGGGGTCGTTTCCTAGTACCCTGCTGGTCGGTAAGGTCTTCGTCTTCGAGAAGGTTTTCGACGTCGGCGGCGGTACGACGAGGAGCGGCAGTCTGCTCGAGCTTCTTGGCGGCTGCACCGAGAGATATTTTGAAGTGCGCTGGCTCGCGCTGTTCTTCCCTGCGCATGATCTCCTCGCCCTGCTCTTCCAAGAAAGCGTCGGCCTGGCCACGTGCCTGGTCCTGCTGTCGCTTCTGTGCGGCCATCTCGCGCCGTTCCTGGTCTCGATCGATTGCGTCTTCCTTGGCTTCGAGGCCGCGAACCTTTTCGCGCTCACGGATCCAGTCGCTGTGGTCGCGGTAGTAAAGATCGCGTCTAGAAGCTGCTTCCTGATCATCATCGAACTCTCGAAGTTGCTTAGCCTGAGCGACACGAGCCTTCTCACGCTCTGCATCCATGTTCTTGAAGTGATCGTTGGTACGCTCAAGTGAGGCCACAGTTCGCCGTTCAGTGTTGAGCCATCGAGAAAGCTGCTTCTTGTACGCCTCTTCGGCCTCTTCACTACGCTTCTTCTGACGACGGCGTTCCAGTTCGGAATCGCTAGCAGAGTCGTCATCGTCTTCCCGGCTGATGTACACTCCGTTGTTTACGGCGCCACCATTAACAAAGCTGACTCCAGCTTGATAATCGCGAGGAAATTGCGACCCCTTGGGTCCGCTAGGAGCCCCTTGGACACCTCGTTCTGCCCGTGGACCCAATGGCACGCCATTAGCATTCCCTGGTCCGCTGGGAGCAGATGAAGGTGGCGACGTGCGTCTGCCACTACGGCGGCGTTCTTCAGCTTCAAGTTCCTCCTCTCTCCTCAGGCGTTCGCGATCGCGTTGGTTGGAACGGTCGCGGAAGGCAGCAATCTCGGCGGCAACAATCTCTCGCATCTCAGCCGGAATATCTGCCAACTCGTCCTCTCCAGTAGCAAGATTTACGAATGCCACTTCCACGTCGTCACCGTCTTGAGCCTGCGCATCTTGCATCATTGTGTCTCCCGCATAGTCCATTATAGGCGCAGTCGGTGGGTTGAAAATGCTTGCGAGGACGGACGAAAGAGCTTCCTTTGCGCTGTCAAGGCGGAACTGGACTGTGGCCTCATCTTCGTTTCGGGTCTTGCTCCATTCCTCGGCATATCTGATGGAGGCATCGTCGACCATGACGTGCAATTTGGTCGTCTCGATCTCTTCTTCTTTCTCTTCTTCGCCCTCCTCCTTCTTTCCTGCGCCTCCGGGCTTCTGGCGCTTTGTAGGTACGCGGACATCCTTGAAGATCTCAGCGGCCGTCTCCAAACTCTGTGCATCGGCAAATTCGGCAAAGCCAAAAGTCTGCGGCTTGTTGTTGGCATCTGTAGCCCTCGTCCAGCGGACTAGCTTTCCTGCCGTCTCCAGGATGCGCTCCATGCCCTCGTCACCACCAACGCCATCTGGAATGTTCCCAACGAATATGGTCCTGGCAATCTCTTCGCGGGTAGGTGGGTTGACTGGCTGCGGCATGTCGCGGCGATCACCGTCCCGGTCCATTCCCAGTCCACGACGGGCGGGTGGTGCTGCATTGTCCCTGCGCCCGCCCGCCGGGCTGTCGACACCTCCAGGACGGCCTCCCTGTGTTCCTAGGCGAATAACGGGCGCATTGAAGTTGAAATTGGGCATGCTCGCGGGCGCTTGCCAACCTGATGGCAGGGCGCGTGATCCATTCACTACTGGGGGGACCTGCGCGCTTGCGACGCCCGGAGGAGCAGCTACACCGGGAGGAGCCGCCGCGCCTGGAGGGCCGACAGTTTGTTAGCAGAAGTTCGCGATAGGCGAGAAACTTCACATACCCATCCCTGGCGGAGCCATGCCAGGCGGAGGTCCGGCATAGCCTGGAGGTCGGTTGTAGCCCGGAGCACCTGTACGTGTTAGTTGGTTTCGCGACGCAAGCATGGGGCGACATACCAGGATAACCGTACATGTTGAATAGATATACGGTCGCGGGGTGTAGGAGGTCGGTGGAAGGATGGCGCACGGGAAAAGTGATGGCGGGACGGTGAGGCTTTGTCGTGTGTTGTAGCAGTCGCAGGAGAGAGAATTAGAGCTGTACCTACAGGCGCTCGGACCACCGAACTTCCGAAGATTTTGGGAATCGCGACATGCACCAACTTGGATGCCCCCCCCCCAACCCCCAACCCCGCGAATCCGCAATTGGACTTGGCCGCCACAATTAGACGTCCACAATGGCCTCGCGATCACTAGGCGAGCTCCTGCTCCGCCCGTCGTCCCTCGCTCGCATACCGCACGCGCATGTGTCGAAGCAGACATGGCCGTGGATATGTCATCGAAGCTTCTCCCAGTCACTGAGCCGCGCAGCACAATCGAGCCGACAGGACGAGAGCGACGAGCAGTACATACCTGAGCAAGAATCGCAAAGGCCACAAGTCCGCTACATGTACAACCAACCGGCTGGGGCGCCACAATCACAACCGCAACCCACTCTAGACGAAACCACACGAACAATCGACTCGCTCTTCAGCGGCATCCCTACAAACCGCACTCCACCGCCGTACATGCCGAGAAATGCTGCAACAACAACCACATCTCAAGCCAACCGTGTGTTTGGCGCCGAGTTCTCAAACACAAAGAGTGCGCGACCCACTCGTCTGAACTTCGATTCCATGGCATTACCCGACTCGATGCTGAACCCTACCTTGTCCAACAAGCCCTCTGACGCCGCCAATCTTGCTGTCCAGCAAGAAGAGACATTCTCCTCTTACCCGCGGCTCAACCCATCCTACGGCCGCTCGGTAGAACTGGATGCCAGTCGCGGACGCGATATCGTGCGGGGAATCGGCATGCTGGGCAGTCTGGTTGCGCGAAACAAAGTCAAGCAGGACTTCAACAAACAACGGTTCCACGAGCGAGGGGGTCTAAAGAGGAAGAGACTGGCGTCGGAGAGGTGGAGAGCGAGGTTCAAGCAGGGCTTCAAAGACGTCACAGGACGAGTTACTCAGCTTACGAAGAAGGGATGGTAGACGTCGAAGCATGTCCAGCATAGCATGTATGAACTAGGCATGAGCTTTACACACTGTATTATAGCAGCATTTGCATGTGGGTGTCGTGCATGGGAGGGCGAGCCTCTGGACCCATCAGAGAATTGAAGACATGGACCAGATGCAGCCGTAGTCTTACCTCAGATTCCCGCGCACCATCATCCCCAGATTCACACTTGTCTGCCATCACAGCCTCGCACCGGATCGGTCGAACCAAGCAGCCCGTCAATAGTCGTGCTCAAAACAGAGCAATTGTCTACAGCAAACGGAGCGTGATTGGCCCACGCTGGCCCTCTGCGGAGTTCACCCGGAGGTCCCTGAGCGCGCGTCGGAACGCCAGGCACAGGCCACCTAACCATGTACGTAGTTCAACCATGGCCAAGTTGACACGAGCACCTCGACCACCATAGCTGCCTCGTGCGCCCGCGCCATGAACACGCCATAATCCACTTTTTTCTTCTTCTCCTAAACCCCCCTCGAAATACCCCGTGTTTCCCCCTCGCCGCCCGTTGCGCAGACCCAAGAACCGCACATTGAAGAGCCATGCTGTCTCACGGTCGGCGCTGGCTCCCCGCCGTCGCACTCGTCTCCTTCTTCAGCAGCCTCGCCGCCGCATTGAGCGGCCAGGAGCCTCTGGGCGGCCTCGACAAGCAACGAGGATACAACCCCGGCGAGCCAATTCCAGTCAGCTGTCTGAATCGAACAATGTACGTTTATTCCCTGTTGTTGCGTCTTCGCGCAATTCCAGACCCAGAAACAAGTCACCAGGGTATCATGTATCATGTTACTGATTACGTTTGACAGAGAGACTGGTGAACATGTACGTCAGCGACTCCCCACCCCCCCTTCGAGCGCGCATGAGAACCAGAAAAGCGGAAAGAGAAAGAGACAGACAACTGGCCATACCTACATACACATGCATACGCCACAGCCAACACCACGCAACTAACCCAACTCTAATATATAAATAGATCACCGATGCCGCCGGCCACTTACAATACATACCGTTTCCGGTCTGCAACGAAACGGGGCGCCCGCTCGAACTCTTCTTTGGGCTGGAGAAAGACGTAAACTGCACCATTGACTTTGTGACGGACGAGTTCTTCCACCGTATGCGCCTCCTCGTTCCCCCCAAAAGAATCCCGCCACACACACACACACACACAACGTAATCCCCAAGAAAGAAAAAAGAGAAACTGACGAGTAATTGGGATATAGTCCTCGAATTCTACATCCACAACGACGCCCCGCTCTCGTGCCGCATCCCCTCGAAGCCGCTGCCGCCGTCAGTGCTCGAATCGCAATACCTGGTGTCGGACGCGTCGACGCAGGAAGGCGCACTGGGCTCGCAATCGACGTCGTACACGCCGCTGGTGGTGGCGCTGGCGGGCACGCTGCAGCTGTCGCATTTGCACGTGGGAAACTATGTCAATCTGCTGGTGCACGCGGCGCCCAAATCCGTGAGCCCGGGCACGGTGGATGCGGCTACGGCGTATAGTGTGAGTAGCCACTCGCGCAATACCAAGATTACGATTGGCGATAGCCTGCCGTTGGTGTTTGCTGTGCGCTGGTATCCGAGTACTACGTTGCCGCCGGGCTGGAGTGGCTATGGAGGCCACATTTATACGAGCACACTCGTGTATTGCTTTCTAAGCGCCGTGGCGAGCGCGGCGGTTTGCGTCGTGTATTTCCGGGGTGTCGAGTTGCCCAGGCGGTTGAAGAGGTATGCCACCGATCGGATGAATGGAGGGGGCCGAGTCTTTAGCAATGGCGGAAGTGGCTATGGGCTGCCTGTTAGCAACGGCAGGGGAGGCATGGGCAGTGAATATGGCCTGGGAGGTTACGGATACGGCGGAGGTGGGAAGAGAGCCGACTAAGAAGAGGCGCTCATGTATACCAAGGCCACGCCATGTACAGATGCGACATATGTTGGGTCATTTATATTCATTCGTATATCATGATGCTGGCACTATTTTAGAGTAAGCACTTCAGCGTACTACATACTGCAAACCCCCCTTGGAAAGTCTTCCAGCCATTACAGTCATTACCGTATCGTCCGTTCCGCCATTTACAAGGCAGACTTCTTCTTGAAAGCATTGATGAGTCCGCTTGTGCTGGCGTCGTGAGCAGTCGACTCCTTGTCGTCGTCAAGCTCAGACTGGATCTTCTTGGCCAGCGACTTGCCAAGCTCAACACCCCACTGGTCGAAACTGTTGATGTTCCAGATGGCACCCTCGGTGAAGGTCAGGTGCTCGTAGTAGACAATCAGCGCACCCAGAGTGGCAGGGGTGATCTTGTCGGCCAAGATGGACGTCGTGGGGCGGTTACCAAGGAACGTCTTGTGGGCAACAAGCTCCTCGGGCGCTCCCTCAGCCTTGACCTCATCAGGAGTCTTGCCGACCATGAGGGCCTCAGCCTGAGCAAAGAAGTTGGAGGCAAGCATCTTCTGGTGCTTGTTGTTGTCAACTGGGTTGTGGCTCTTGGCAGCCAGGATGAAGTCGGTGGGAATGAGCTTTGTGCCCTGGTGGAGAAGCTGGTAGAAGGAGTGTTGTGCGTTGGTGGCAGGCTCACCAAACAGAATGGGGCCAGTCGTGTACTTGACGTAGTCGCCGCTGCGAGTAATGGCCTTTCCGTTGGACTCCATGGACAGTTGCTGGAGGTAGGCGGGGAACCTGTGCATGTACTGATCGAAGCTGGGCCAAGTCAGAGCAAGTTTCGTTTGATCAGAAATGCAAACTTACGGAGAGACAAGGTGCGTCTGGGCACCAAAAAAGTCAGAGTACCAGACACTGAGCAGACCACCAATGACGGGAATGTTCTGCTCAAGAGGAGTCTCCTTGAAGTGCTTGTCCATGGCGTGTGCACCAGCAAGCAGTTGGTGGAAGTTGTCGAAGCCAATGTAGAGAGCAACGCTCAGACCAATGGCACTCCAGACACTGTAACGTCCACCGACCCAGTCAGAGAAGCCAAACATGTTCTTCTTGTCGATACCGAACTTGGTCACCTCGGCCTCGTTGGTGGAGAGAGCAACAAAGTGCTTGGCAATGTCCTCCTGCTTTGCGCTCTGCAGGAACCATGACTTGGCACTGTTGGCGTTGGTGACGGTCTCGGCGGTGGTGAAGGTCTTGGAGGCAATGAGGAAGAGGGTCGTCTCGGGGTTGGAGTCCTTGAGGGCCTCTGCAATGTGGGTGCCGTCAATGTTGGAGACGAAGTGGATCTTGAGGTCGCGCTTGGCGTAGGCCTTGAGGGCTTCCGAGACCATGACGGGGCCACTGCTCCATGTTAGCGGTGCTCTTTCAACCTTTGCAGAGTAGTTTGTCCATGGACTTACAGGTCAGATCCACCAATTCCAACGTTGATGATGGTGTCAATCTTCTTGCCAGTGTATCCCTTCCACTCGCCGCTGCGGACCTGCTCGCTGAACTCCTTCATGTGGTCGAGAACGCTGTTGACGTCCTCGACGACGCTCTTGCCGTCGACCTTCATCTCCTGGTTGGAGACGTTGCGCAGCGCAACATGGTAGACGGCGCGGTTCTCGGTGAAGTTGATCTTCTCACCCGCAAACATGTCATCACGGAGCTTCTCGAGGCCAGACTCCTTTGCGAGCTCGATGAGCAGTTTCAGTGTCTCATCGGTGATGAAGTTCTTGGAAAAGTCGAACAGGATCTCCGAGTTCTCGGCATCGTTCTTGAAGGTACGGCTGAACTTCTCGAACCGCTGCAGATGTTTAGACAGTGGGTAAGGCATGCAATCGCTGGCTTCTTACCTGGGGGTCCTTCTTGAAGTACTCCTTCAGCACAATGTCCTTTCCCAGCTTCTGGTGGTGGTCCTGAAGCGCCGACCACGCGCTGAGGTCTGAGGCTTGTGCGAAGCCAGGCATGTTGAGTTACAGGGCTGGTTTGGGAAGTGGGGTTAGCATGCATGACGTACAGGCCATGGAGGGTGAATACCAACATTGAGAGTATCTGACGGGGAGGCAATTGGGGGTATCGCACGAGGTCAATTGCAAGAGGGAAGAGAGGATGAAGAAGGTGAAAAGTCGAGTGGATGAGTGATTGTTAATGTCGCTGGACTGGACGTGGTCGCAGAAATGTCGAAGGCGCGCGGGCGAGACCCCCCCCCCCCGCTTGCGTCAGAGCTTCGTTGAGGGGTACCACTTTTACCAAGCACGCGCAGCCTGGCAGCTGCTCTCCCGTTGGTTCCAGCTTTACTAAGCCGATCACTAAGACGCGCTTTACGGACGCCACGGCTATGCGCACAGGGTGAGACATCATGCATCATTAGGCCTTTGTTCAAATGGGGATATCGTATTGATTTGCTGGCCTGAATGTAGGCTTCTCTCACACAAATGCTGCCTCAAGCGCCGTGCCGTTGCTCCCGAACCCAAAAAGCATCAAAGAGCACTGAGAACCCACCAATCACTATGCCTTCTCTAGTGTGGATCCATCCAAAGCCGGTGGGTGTTTTTCCTTTTGCTCGGCCTCCTCGCCGGCACAAGCCAAGCACCAACTCAACGGCTCCGAAGCCGAACCGCTGTGTCCAAGGGTGCTAGCTTTATCTTTCTGTCACGCCCTCGAACGACGGGTCCTTGACTGAACCGCCAGCGTCGCCGAGACCGGCAACGGGACGGTTGTATGACCATCCTGCAAACTGCTGTTGCATTGTCTGCGAGAGCATGGGACCGTCGACGTACGAGTCTGTGGGTGCCTCCGAGGTGAACTCACGGTCAAAGTTTGCAGTGTCCTTTGCGTCAACCTACGGCCTGTTAGCATGCGTGGGATTCGGCGTGTCTCGACATTACTAACCACATTGGGCTTGAAGCTGGGCTCGTACTTCCTTTCGAGCAGCTTTCGCCAGTCGATGCTGTGGAAGAAGTAGTGTGCCTTGATCTCGGCGGCGCCCTTGGCTCCTAACCGCTTCTCTGCGTTGCGGTCGAGCAGACGAGTCAACAGGTCTCGCGCAGCCGGCGGCACGATTTCAGGGCCTGGGAAATGCAGAGGCTCAGTGAGGATCTTGCGATACATATCGTTGGTGTTTTCATCATAAAATGGTGGCAGGCCAGTCAACATCTCATACAGCAGTACACCGAGCGTCCACCAATCGACAGCCTTGGTATAGCCAGCACCCGTCAAGAGCTCAGGAGCGAGGTACTCTGGTGTTCCACAGAACGCTAGGAAAAAAAAGTCAGTCGATGAGGTGTGGAAGAAGGATGCAGAGCAAACTTACTATTCGTCCTGTCCTCGTCCTTCATGTCGAGCTTGCAGAGACCAAAGTCACAAAGGGCAATGTGACCAGTGTAATCCAGCAGGATATTCTCTGGCTTCAGGTCGCGGTAGATGACATTGAAGCCGTGCAGACACTCGAGAGCGCAGAGCAGTTCGGCAGCATAGAAGCGGGCGCGGTTGATGTCGAAACGCTGCTCTTTTTGGAGGTGATGGAACAGCTCACCACCATTGACGAAGGCTAGCACGAGATATAGCTTCTCTGGCGACTGGAACGAGAACTTCAACGGCACGATGAAGGGATTGTTGATCTGGGCTAATACTGAACGTTCAGCAAGAGTATGTGCGACTTCGGAGCGCGAGATGATGTGTGCTTTGCGGATCGTCTTGAGGGCGTAGATTCGGTGCGTGTCTTTCTTCCTGTTGATTTTTGTGTTAGCACATGGGAATGCACGGGGAGAGCAATCAGTGGGCAACCTACTGCACCTGCATGACCTTTCCAAAACTGCCCTTGCCCACAACCTTGAGGAGCTCAAAGTCGTCGATTGCCAGGCGGTCTTGGCGGTTCTCGACAAAGTTGACACCGACCTTCATCTGACCACTGCCAAACTGAACAGGTATCCAGTCGGCGCCAGCCTGGCCAGCCGTCTCCTCTCCCTTTGCAGACTTTCCATCCTGCTGCTGCTCCTCGAAGCGGGGCGTGACCTTGAGTGTGCCAATGAAAATGTCCTCGCTGCGGCCGGCGTTGGGCGAGGCCGAGGGGTTTCGGATGTAGAGCGAGACGGTGACGTCGGTAGCGCGGGACACGTCGAACTTGTACTGCGTGTTGCTGCCCGCCCAAAGGGGGTTCTCAGGCGTGCCCGAGACGGCGTTGATGAAGACTTGCTGCTTGTCGAAATCGACCAGGGCGTAGGGGAGGTGCTTGGACGAGTAGCGGCCGTGGTTTGTGGGCGCGGCGTTGATGCTGCCGGCAGCAGACTGTGGGCGGCTTGCGTACGAGCCTGCGGCGTTGCGAGACGAGGAGCCCGGGCGCATGGAGCCGGCGACAGACAGGCCGCCGCCCTGGGACAAGGAGCCCTGGTGGTGGCCTTGGCCGCTAAACTGCTGCTCTGCACCGGGGGGCAGCGAGAATTTCTGGCCCTCGTGGAGCGTGACGATCAGGATGCCTGGGCGAAGGGGCGGTGCGGGCGCCGACGCCTGGGCTTCTGAGGCAGCTGCGGCGTGTGGTCAGCAGGGCAGAGGGGGAGGGGGGCTACGTGGAGGGCGGGCGCGGTACCGATGCCATTGTCTTTGGACTCTGTGAGGCTGCTGGTGTGGCTGGAGGCCTTGGGCGTGGCCTGGTTGTCGACTATTGTGGACGTCGACGACGAGCGACTGAATGTGTTTGCCAGCGGCGCAAGGTGCGTCTCCTTGAGCTCTGCAGGGTGCGTGTTAGCGGGGGGTGCGCGGTGGGCGGGCGGAGACGTACTCTTGGTGAGCTTCCAGGACATGGTTGCGGCAGCTCAGCGGGTGGGTTGGTGCAGGAGGACAGACGGACACCACCACACGGTGAGTGGGTGGAGACAAGCGCGGGAGGGCGGCGTGGGCGGGGGCGGCGATGCAGCGGTGGGTTGGTGCAGCGGTGCAGCTTATGGGGGCAGGCTGGCGGGCTGGCAGCTGGCAGCTGGCAGGATGGGGGGGGTGGGCGGGCGGATGGCGGCGAGTCGGGCAGTCTCAGTCAGTCAGTCAGTCAGTCAGTCGCAGACCGTCGCAGTCAGGAAGAAGGCAGAGCAGAGTAGAGCAGGGCAGAGCAGAGCAGAGCAGAGCAGAGCAGAACAAAGCGCCAGCGAGCCGGGCGAATCGAGGTGGCGACGTGTCTGGCGTCCGAGAGCCGCCCAGGCCTTGAATGCGCTTCTACCTTACAATGCTCCAAGATAGGGTCTCACATTTGAGGGGTCATTGGGTCGCTAGCCCTTCAGTAATCTCGGCCGGCGACCAGGTCGTGTTTCCCGCACTGACGCGCAATCCGCGCCTGGAGTCATTTGCCGTCTTGTTATTCTTCTCGTCGCTGCTGCGGCGTGTTGCTGCGACGTGTTGCTGCTGCGACGGGCTGGCCGCCGCGGGTGCAGTCGTCGTCGTCGTTGTCGCCGTCGCCGCCTGCATGCCCAGTGGCCGCCGCATACATGCGCATGCATACACAGCACTGTGTATATGGCGACATATACATAGCACATCCATACTACAGCCAGCCGTCCACACACGCCTCGGCTACAGCTTCCGCCGCGGACAACCTCGTGTGCATCCACGCCCACCCGCCATCGCCATCGCCATCCCCTCCCCCCCCCCCC